GCTTCTAATGAATTACACTTTTAAATGTTCAGGATTTGATTCAATTAAGTCCAGCAGTCTTTACAGATTATATCTATGATTGTTTTTACTGACATGTGGGAAAAAAAATGACTCAACCTTTTAGTAACAGAATTTATGAAAAAATGTTTCTGCATTCCCACTGTGATTTATTCATTTCTCATATGTTCTCCAAATGCAGTTAACACAGAAATTCCTCTGTATTTTTCTTTTTGACTGGGGTGGGAAACTGCAAAAGAATATGCAGGTTCAAGTAACACATCATTTAGCATGCTACATGACAATTTAGCATCACAGTGCATGACAATTTAGTCAACATCTAAAATAAAAGCATATGGGACTTCTGGATTTTTTTTTATTACCTAAAAAGTAGAATTAAGAGCTTTATCTCTTCACCAACAGAGGTATGAATATGCCTTGCAAAAAGAGAACTACCTGAACGCTGATGATGTTTCTAGCACCTATATACGACTATACAAAAACCCTCTTTTAGAATTTCTAGCAACTACACATGACGACATAAGAATGCTATTTTAGAAGTATGTTTTCCCTCTGTGCCACATTCATCTGTAAAAGGGAAAACGAGCCGGTTTGTCGATGAGACCCAGCACCGTATTGCGGCTTTTGCCTTCCTCCCTGCTTCCTCGGATTCCAGCTGAATCCCAAAGCGCTGCTGCCTGGGGGAAAGCAGCACACCCGTCCCCGGGAGCCCGTGGGAGCCCCTCGCCCGGAGCTCCCCTCTCAGCGCCTCCCGGGCCGCCAGCGGCTCAGCCCCGCCGCGGAGGCCGCCCCGCGCCCCGCCCGCCGCCACCGCCAACCACCGAGCCGGGGCCGCCGAGCGCCCGGAGGAAGCGCGGCGGGGAAGGGGCGGCGGCGCGGCCATGCCCGTGAGTGGCGCCCCGGGCCCGGGGAGCGGGGGGTGGTCGGGTCCCGGTCCCCGCGCTCGGGCCCCCGCTAAGGGCGGCGGGGAGCGGGGTCTGACCGCGGGCGCGTTTCTGCCCTTGCCCTCCGCAGCTGGCCAAGGACCTGGTGCATCCCTCCTTGGAGGACGAGAAGAGGAAGCACAAGAAGAAGCGGCTGGTGCAGAGCCCCAACTCCTACTTCATGGACGTCAAGTGCCCAGGTACAGGGCTGCGTGGCGGGCAGGAGGACGGACACGCGTTTTCTTGGGGCTCTGTGCCACCGCAGAGGGGAGGCTTGTTCTCTAAACGTGGTGTACGTGATCTGTAGGGGGAAAAATGTACTTTTCTTTCTTGAGAACTCTTTTAGTCCAAACGTTTAAAAAAATTTACTGAAGCTATCCGTTTATCTATTTTTCTAGAGGTCTAAAATAGGAAAAACAACAGTCCTTAATGGAAACCTGGCACGGGGAAGGGGCGGGAGACAACCCCTCAGATCTGCAGCTCTGAGAAGTGAGATGACATGGGTGGTTTAAATCACCCATGGCCCGAGTTTCAAATAAAAGCAATGTTTGTTTTCTTCCTTTTGTAAGTTGGTTCCAGAACAGCCAGAAAGACACTTCACAAGGACACATACAGCCGCAGTGTACACATACAGCAATACTACGGGTGCAGAAATCAAAAGTTGTACCTTACCTCCTAGACAGCACTGCAACATTAGAAAGTGGTAACAGTAAGAAAACAACAGAGAAATGCATACATGGATTGACTTACAGTAGCAGTCATCTTGATGAGAAGGAATTTTTCTCTATTCATTTTTTCTTACTATTCTATTCTTAGTAGTTTAGATTTCTAAGTAGCTCTCAGACATTGCTTTCCATCTAAAAGTGAGGTAAAGTCATTAAAACTGTTTGCAAATAAACTGCTCACTTAAAATAAAAAAACTCTCATCATGGAGCTTTCTGAGGACCTTCCTTGTGACATGTATACTTCTATCCTATCTTTCTGGGCCATACATGCTGAAAATGGAATCTGTGCTCACCCTCATCTATTTTCTATATCTGCATCTGGATTAAATCCACTACAAATTGTCTCTCCTATTCCTCCTAATTAAAAATACTTTCAAGGGCAAATAATGAAAGACATGAAAATTCTTTTGCATAAGAAGTTTATGAGATCGATCTCATGTTTTCCAAAAGTTGTAGAATTTAGAAGTTAAAGTTTTCCTGATGCTCGTCTTGAATCTGGAATACACTGAAGTTATTATTCTATGCACGTCTTTTGGCACTAGCCTTATGTAAACATGGCACTAGCCTTACACAGTACGACTGAGCATGTGCCTTATGTGCACTAATTATTAAACAGAAAGCAAACAGTTTTGAGCAGCAGTGCTCACATTCACAGCTGACAAACTTGATCAACGCTCAGCAATGTTCTAGTACAACAAATAATTATTTCTTTATCTAGAAGATTCTTTTGATCAGCACAGAAGGCTAGTCTAGGATGAAAATAAGGTATCCAGCTCCTGCTTTTTAGACGACACATACTGCAGGTAAATTGAGGCTTGTCAGCCCTAAGGCTCCCTTGATGATTTTCACATGGGGAGGTGTAACAGTTTCATTCAGTTAACTAATTTGCTTTTCTATGCATATCAATAAAAACAAATAAGTGTTTCAGACTACAGTAACAATGTTTTACTTGGTGTGCTTTGTAACAAAATACTAAATTGAAACAAGTATATTTAGAGTATCTGGTTCAATTACACATACATTTTAAAACATGCTAGAACACTCAGTGGAAAGTTTAATAATGCTGTTTTCCAGGGTGCTACAAGATCACCACTGTATTCAGCCATGCTCAGACAGTAGTTCTGTGTGTAGGCTGCTCAACCATCCTGTGTCAGCCTACTGGGGGAAAGGCTAGGCTCACAGAAGGTAAGGAGTACTGTTTAAGCAATCCCAATATTCCAGTTAAGACTGTGCATTTACGTAGTGATAGTCTGCAAATCTTTTAGCTTTGATTTGTGGAAACTGATACCGGAAAGCTTATTTTTCAAGATGTTTTGTTTAACTAGTAAAAACATTGTTACTGGGCCCTAGCTTGCAAGTTTTTCTGCACTTTTTTTTTTTTTTTTAATGGCTACGCAGATAGATATGCGAGGGAACTTGGCAGCTAGATTTTGATCAAGCACACTTGATATTTGATGCTTTGATTTGTATCTTCTTTCAGGCTAACACTAGGCTAAAGGTTATTTATTTCTGAACTAATTTTAAAGGGTTAAAAAAGTTACCATTAAAGAAGTAGGGTACTTGGGCTAGGTTAACATGATTCCATGCCTCTGCTAGTCAGTGGTGGCTTGCTTGTTTATTTTTAAATAGAGGTGCTGTAATGCAGTTCCCTGGTTCACGTTACTTAATTGAAATTTATATAAATTTTAAGGGAACAAATAACTACAGTTAATTGCATGCAGATAACTCGTTATAACACTGATGTCTTGAACCATAATCCAACAGCTAGGATATATGAAAAGCACTGGAAACACATAAGGGTTTCAAGAAATTTGAAGAATGAATCCAGACTTCATTCACCTTACATTTAAAGGACAAAATTTAGTGTACATATTATATATAGTACTGCTTGTACTGCGTAATACTATACAGCAGTAGTTTATATGAGGATAGAATACCTGAAATGAGGCTGTTGAGCAGTTGAAAAGGCACCAACACTCCCTAGCTACTGTTTCAGTTTAGGATTTGTACCACTAAGGGATAGAACAGTACACTAGAATTTTAAAAGACATCTCAAAAAAAGTAGTACACCTGAGCCTTAGCATAAAATGAATTCAAGATGACCATGCTGGATTAGAGTAGACTCGATGTGCTAGGTAGTTACCTCTTATGGTACACAAAGTTTAAATTTACTATGCAAGTTCCCAACTTCAGTTGGGTGAACAATTTTTCAATGTCATCTAGTAATTTAAGACTATTCATATTTCTACTTGTCATTTCTTTGCAGGCTGCTCCTTTAGAAGAAAGCAACACTAAGTATTCTTTTCAGCATAGAGCTTTGGATCTGTGTTCCTGAAAGCCTTAGCTGTTTAAGAAAATGTCTGTTAATATAACAATGTAATTATGATTGATTTTGTAAAAATGACATGGTACTGGTGACTGATGAGCTGCAATCTTTTTCAATAAACAGTTTGAAGTGCAAGTTTACGGACAACTGAGCTTTATTTCTATAGTTTTAAACAGTGCATTATAATTGGGTGTTGTCATTTAATATAAAAATTAATATAAAAATCTGAACCTTGGACTTGCTGCATCCTTCCCTACATTAATCATCAGCAGCATTTACCATATGGTGACAGACTGCTTTAAGAGTACATTTGGTACATTTTATCACTGTAGCAGCTCTGATTGCACGGATTACAAAGGCTAGACAGATTTAAGAAGGACACGCAGCGTATTTCCTTTCACCAATGATTTAGCCCCTTTACCATGTTGTAGAACGTGGTGATAGTTAATCTCAAATATGAAATTACTCACTTATGTTCAGATGTTTTTCTGGAATGCATGGCTTCCCCTTCCTCTATTCTGGTCTAGAAATTGCACTCTATACTGAGGTTCCTACACATACACGCACAAAAAAAAATAAAGTGTTTTGCAAAATACTGAAAGCATTCAGGATAAAGAAAGCATATGGCATACAAGCAACAGTAAGTCAACAAACTACGCTAACAGCTGTGAATGACTAGGACAGCAAAACCATGCTTATTTTCAGTATTAAGGATGGAAATAATTACCTTTTTGCAATAAGGAAACAGGTTCCTAGTTAGCTCTTAAAATCAATCCCTGTCTAAATGGCTATTCAAAAATTGAAATTTCTTTTTAAAACCATGATAAACCCGTCAAGCATGCCACCTTACATTTATCTTGTTTTACTACATGAAGTCTTGAGTTACATGTCAACAACATCTTTCAGAACATCACCTGCCATGGTGGCCTTATTGTTGAGAATCTCTAATCAACTTGTGTTCGTTTCATAAAGAAGTGGTAAGTTTCTAGTCAATTAAAAAAACTGATATTGTAATTCAGTGCGTTTGCAACATGTTTTATTTCAGTTAATTCACATAGCGAACACTGATAATTACCAATGCAAAAAGTAGGTGTTTGATACAGAAATAGATGCACCAATTTTGTACACATGCCTTTAAAAGAAGTACACTTTTATGTCAGCACCACACTGTTTTCACAACAAAAGTTAATTTAAGAGCATGTGAGTCACCTAAGTTGCTCTTAATTTACCAGTTTCCCCCATTTCTTGCTTGTTTATCAAATAACTGGTTTCAGATCTAAGATGACAGTAGCAATATTAAATCACTTGTGACCTGACTACACATGCTAACAGTCAAACTGATTTCTAGTCACACGTACCTGCTTTCTCTTCCCACCCTGACCCCAACATATAAGAACTTAAGATTTATGATGAAGTACCACATTAGAGAAAGTTACTGACCCATTTTGCTACAGGTGTTAGAAGATGAAATGTAGACTCCATAACATTTCCAGTACTGTAGATACGATAATAGGCTTTTAAAGCCTTAAGTTACAGGAGATAAAAACAACGTGGTCTTCGCATATAAGAAATTGGTGGCTAAACATATTCTGTGATGGGAACGAGAGACTGTTAGTATCTTAGTGTTACAAGTATCTTAAAACACTTCTTAGCGCTACTCACTTTCTTAGATACTTCAAACATTTGCATTCATTACTGTTCAGTCATATGTAGACAAGCATAATAATAGACTTATACCTTCTACATGCTCATTTTTTGTCTAAACCCAGTCAGAATGGCCAGTAAGTGAACTTTGTTGCTTCTGAAGTACACAAAGCTTTTGAGAATAACTACTACTTGCAAAATAAATTCATCGTACAAGAAAAGTCTGCTAAAGTACAATGGAACCTGGAGTAGCAGCGTTGCTTTTCAGAGTTTCTATATTTAAAATATTGTGTTCGGTCAACTTCTGTTCAGGTATTCTTGAACATGGAAACTCAGAACTACTTAATCTTGTTCCCTGTGTAAAATGGGCAATGACTTCTGCTGCTGCACATTTACACAGCTAGTCGGTGCTGAAGACTGGAAAAAAAATGCTGCCATTGAAGATGAGTATCTCCAGTATTGAACTCTCAAACAATATCAAAGATTCAAATGGGAGTAATTGAATACATTGCATCACCAAAGGCAATTTTATTGAGAAAGGTTTACCTAGCCTGTCTTTACTGATTTGATATTCTTGAGATACCAAGACAACCAATGATTCATAAATACAAAAGTAAAATTTTGGTGGGCTAGAAAAAACAAATAGTTCGGGTGTACCTTTTTTACTGTTTTAAGGTACAAGAACAATTAAAATTTTGAAGAGCCCTATTGTCAATTAAAAATGCAGGTAGAGCACTGACACCTCAAAATAATACATTTCTTGGTTTGTCTGTCTTAGCCAAAAAGAAATAATCACAGGCCTACAGAGAACAGAGCTGACAACATGGTGTTTCATCAAATAGCAGGCATCAACTACAAAGTTAATGCCAAAGCATAGTCATACCTGCATCTTTCCCAAGCTACCTTATTTCAATTGTTATCCAAGACATCTGTCTCCTTCTATTCAGCAAAGCAGAGCTGCTAAATGGTGCAGAGATGTAAGTATTCAAACCTTTTCTTAACAATGCTTTGTTTTGTCTCAACCTGGAAATAATGTCTGATGTAACCACAAGGGAAGTAGAATAAGCAACAAAGCCTTGGCAATTATGGAGATCTTCCATGCCATTATGGAATATATAAAATTAATATAATCAGCTATTACTGTATCTCTCAAAAAAAAAAAAAGTTAGATAATACTTATCTGGAAGTCTACAACAACTTCTTGTTCAGCTTTGTATAAAAGTAACTCCTTGAGGCAGGTCTTCAAAATGGAGAAAAAAAAAATTACAAAATCTCAAAAAAAACCTTCAAGACTTCTACTACTGGCTTCAAGACTGGGCTTTAAATTTTACTGATTTTAGTTCCTTATTCCTGTATCTGAAGGAATATCTATGTTCCAGAACATAGTGCCATTTCCAGCTATTAGCTACCATTTCTACTACCGAAGTTAGCATGTGTATCATCCAGTAATAATGGGACTGACAGCTCATCATATTGTGCTATTTGGGCATATTCAACTGTGAAATAATACCCTTATTTCCATGGTACAATAATCTCATGTTCTCTGTGTAATAAAAATGGAAGTGAGAACATCCAAATAACAAATGATTTACACACATTATTCTAGGCTCATTTCCTAATTCTTTGCAATCTATAACTCTGACTAAAGCGTACTTCTGGTACTTCTTCATTCTGGAGGTAGCTTTGTTTTTTGCTTTTCAGACAAATAAGAAAAGCTGTATGTAAAAGTACAAAAGTCAACAGTAAAACCATTTTGAAGCAATGGTGAACAGGTCTGGCAGATCTTAACTTTGAAAGTAACAAATTCAGTCTTTACGTGCCCAAATCAAGATGTGCAAGTTGTTCAAAAGCTTTAACATTTAAGGTAGATAATTTTTTGTTGTATTCAGTACAAGAAACAAATCCTTTTTTTGTTTTCTTTTTTAATCTTTGTTAAGTACTTAACTAGATGAGGAAAGAAAACCTGCTACTGAAGTAATAATTTACACAGGTAATGCAGGAAGTCAAATTTGACTGTTACATTTTTCTTTTCTATCGGTTAGGAACTTCCCTGAGAGATGAATTCCAGCTACGCTTAAGTTCTGTTAGTGCTGCCACACTTAAGTGTACTGTTGATACTTTTTCCTCATGTATTCTTACATATCTCAGAGTCTAATTTGATCTCCTTCTCCATTTTCTATGTTTCAGTACAGTGAGTTCAGTTACACATTTTTATTTTTTTTTAATCTATGTATTGTGCCCGTTTTTCTTTATCAAATTCCCTTGCGATCTTTAAGGCAGTGCTGTTGAGGGAAACTGACTGCATATTACAAATAATACTAACAATCACTCCTCTAGGTGGTGCCACTAGTGCAGTGTCTATGGCTTTGGAGTCCAGATCTTCAGGAAGAATCAGGAGGACGCTACTTGCCCCCACTGCACCACCTGTATGAGATGCATAGTGTCTCTGCTGTCTGCAAAATCCATATTGTTGCTTTTTCTCTACTACAGCCCAAGCCATTGCATATTTACCATCCCTGTCCCATGACACTTCAGTTTTTGGCACTGGGGTCCACATCATTGCGACTGTGTCTGGTTTGAGGTACCCAGGAAGAAGTTTGCCACCACTGTTTTTAAATTGTCCAACTTGGTAACTGTACAACATGGCATTTCCAAATTTCAGAAGGTCACCTACTGATGACAGAAAGCCTCCACCAGCCCATTTGTAGGAGTTGTCCACATACGGTGCGTTTACCAGACGTCCTTTTTTGTTGTAAACGTAACACCTAGAATTCAAGAAAACTCGTCATCTCAGATACTATGTAATACAACCTTAAAAGGGCATACTGAGCATGTATTAACTTTCTCTCATGAAACTTTGTCTTTAAAACATTTTCCTTAAGTGTATTTCATTTGTAGGAAAATTAACAAAAAAATCAGATGGGAAAAACAAAAATTAAGCTTAGAAGCTTAGTTTCAATGTAAGTACTAATCCTTCTACTTCTTGTTAGGGTACGCTAAGAGTGAAAGCAATATACAAGAGACAGGATAGAAAGCTGTAGATCAGCCAGCACAGGACTTCTCTCAAATCTCTGTATTAGGTTTAAAGTGTTTCAAGGAAGAGGAATCCTATTATTACACTGTGATTATCACACACAAAACTGAAACTTCAGCAAGTTTTATATGGACTGTTCTGAAGCAGTAGTTTCCATTTGTGATTGATTTCTCCCCTCACCCAATTACAGTTACTATATAAACTGAACATTCAGAAACATTTTTGCAAAACCTTTCATTAAAATGCAAATTCGAAAATTACCAACTATAAATGCAGAATGAACAGCGAAATAGGAGTACAGAACCTCTGAAAATTTGCAAGCAAAATTAATAAGCAAAATAATCCAAGCATCTTAGAATACAGCAGTAAAACTATCCCTAAAAGATTACCAACTGCTGTTGCATATTTAAAGTGTCGCTTTTACAACAGTTAACAACACTTAAATGTAAGTACTATAAACCTTGTAATACAACATGTTCATAACCACTCCTACTTCATAAGAGCACTTTAAAATCCAAGCTTCTATGAAGTTTGAACCTCATTTTGATTTTTTTTTGTCTATAACCTGCTTTTGTGACTGTTAGAAACTTCCTCCAGCACCAAAATTTAACAAATCAGTTGAGTCAACAAATCACAGTGGCTCAGTAAAATAAGGCTCAAGACAGATGAGAAACTCAATCCTTATTACTCCATTTTCATTTATTTACACTTTTCTGCTTAATTGTAACCAAACTAAATGCAAACTTCCAAGTCACCTCTGCCAGTTTCCTGCCCTATATATACCCTTATAATAGGAAAAACTTATTTCCCATAACATAATTTCACATTAATTGCAGAACCAATACCATAACGCAGAAATAAAATCAGTTAGTTACATGCCTACCTTTGAAATAACGAGCCACTTCTTTAAAGGCCCAACCAAAAAGAAATTGCACGTTCTTAATTCAGTTTGCTCAAAGATAGAAAGAACAATGATCACTGTAAGAAGAGCAGAGTAAAAATTCATCCTTGTTTACCTTGCTCTGTTATATATCATTGCTTCATTGTCATCTAGTACAGTTGACAGCATATCCAAGTCACGAAACATTTTTAGCATATAATCTGTAAATTTTTGTCCCGAAACTCTCTCCACAACAGCACTTAAGAGGGTGAAGCCATATGTTGAATACAAGAACTGACTACCTTAAAGAAAAAGGGAAAAAAGTTTAGTTTCATGGTGCTTATGTTTTATACCATAGGCATCCCATTTAAGTAATCACATGTGCAAATAAAGCTATGTATAGCAATAAACAATCAATTTAAAGACCCCACCCCCAATTTTAATTGCATGTAAAGCACTTGGTTATGATACTGGGTCCTAGAAACCGCTGTGTGGCAGCAGACAGACGCTTGCTAAGTGCAGGTAGCTCTGAGAACAGCACTAAATGTTTTCCAGGATTCTGCATGTACCACCAGGTTTCATGCTGAGATATAAAGACTGACATTTAACATTCTTTACATGCAATTTGCCATATTAGTTCTAACAATGATACCTGTATTTGGAGAGATGAAACCATGAAATTACTTAAGAGATACTGACCTACCTACCTTGTTAGCATCTGCACCATAAAGACAGAAAGACAACACTATACTCAGTCAAGGTTTTCCAAGGCCTTACTCACTTTTATCACTATAAAAGTTCTAGGTTTCTAGTTCTAGAATATCCTGGAATATTATATAAACAGTAATGTGTATTATTTTAGATGATGTATCCTGTTTTTAATCTAAACTGGTGATAACACCTTTTATCAAACATCTATATATCAAGCAACAGTTTTCATCAAAGTGTCCAGAGTCAAGACAGATCCCTTACCTGATATGATTCCTAGAACCCCCAAGATGGTACGTGTTAGCTTCTCAGCCTTCCAATCCCTCGCCCCATAAATACACATTATTAACTGTTTATCAGCAATGGGTATCATTTGCCTATTAACCTAACTCATTTAGAACTCACACCTGAAACTCTTCCGAGTCCTCTCTACAATTGAATTATATAATTCCAGTAATAACAAACCTTGGTAGGTCTATGACTTCATGGTATTTCAATATAATTATTTAGCTCTGATCTGTTGCCTCAATAATGTTGCTTTTGATTCTTATCTAGAAGGTCTCCAGAACATGAACACGGCAAGCTGGTGGCTGCTTACAAAATACTTTGTAGATATAAAGTTGTTAGAATATACTTTGAAATTGTATTTTCATAGCACTTAACTGCATTACTCAGAGCTCCTAAGAGTTTTATTTCTACCTGAGGTCCCACCTTTGCACCATCTTGGTCTCTTTGTATTATCTTTTACTTTTTAGGACTAACCTACATCCTTTTTTGAACCTGCTTGCTACTGCAGTTACACCATTAGAAACATAACCATATAAGCATAATTTTTTAAGTCAGCATATTGTTTAAGATACCTCTACAAGATAGATATCCAAATTGAACTAGTGAAGTCCTGGTCAGTTCAGTCATCAAAAAACTTGTTGGTAGAAGGACAATAAGATGACTATACAGTTTGTACAGATCAGCCCAAATATTTCTCCACTGAGCTTTTATCAGGGCACAGGAAAAAAAATAACCAGTGTTTTTGTGTGTTTTGATTTAGTTCTACTTCTTGGACCCTACTAGCCTCACTGCATATAAAACAATTTGAAACAAACAAACAAACAAACAAAACATCACCAGAAAAGTATATTTTGGTCTAAAGGAGTAGTAACTCACCTGGTTTGAAGAATAAAGGATCATTTTTAAATATTTTCAGTGATTCGATCACACTTTCAAATTTTTCCTTCAAATAATACTCTTCTTGCTCAAATTCCTTGTCTCTCTTGCCAGGTTTTGAATTTCGGCTTTTTACTTCACCTTCATGTTCTTTCTTTGGTTTGACAGAATCAGTTTTTTCAATGCCTTTACCATCCTTCTCTTTTTGTTCTTTATCCTGATTGGGTTTTGTTAGTTTCAATGCTCTGTTTGCCTTTTCCTTTTCTTCCTTTACTTTTGCAATATCTTTTTCATAGTGACGAATCCCACTCAGGTGTGAAACTAACAGTCTTGTAGTAATAGTGACCTAGGTAGAATGAACAACATGAGCTCCGTGATTAAACACACAATGCAAACTGATTCACTAGAAAGTAAAACTTGACATGAGGAAGGGACAGAGACATAACAGCTTTTAAGCATCATGTATTAAAAGGAGTTAAAATAAATAAATAAATATATGCACACCACACACTATAGAACTGAAGATCCAAATTTCCAGCGTTTCTTTTTCAAGCAACAAATATCAGTACTTGTCTATATGATTTCTGATGTTTTAGAGGAAGAGATAATACAGCACTTGTACACATATGGCTGTGCAATCACAGGAACAAAATCCAAACAAGTGTTAACAATAAACAACTACGTACCTTTTCACCCTCGTAGACCTTTTCTGGAAATTCAGGGACGTATTTCTGCACTGGAGCATCTAGGTCCAGTTTCCCCTCTTCCCACAATTTAGCAATGGCCATCATGGTAAGACACTTGCTAATACTAGCAATTCGCATGATCGTCTCTGGCTTACATAAAACACGATTCTCCACATCAGCATAACCCAAACCTTTAAGACATAAAGACATAAACTTTTAATACATAAAAACAGTGGTAAATATTTTTACACAGAGACATGCTGAATTATTTTCAAATTACTAGATTTACTGGCTCCTCAAAATATGTTTCTTCTAGCTCAACTGAGAAATGAAGCATTAGAAGCATGCTCCTGCTTCAATTAAATGAATAACAGTATTTAGTAGGATAGGTTAATCAGAGCCCATGGTATTAACCAGCATCAACCCAAATTAATGATTAAGCACATAAAACAAACTTAACCCTAAACAAGACTGAAGATTAAGCCAAAATTTTTACTCCTGAGGTCAAATATTTAATGTAGAAAAACTAAAGACAACAAAATATGGATTGTAAAATAATTCTCCAACAGTCCTACATACTCTTTTATTTCTCTAACTAAAGATTAAAAACAACTAAAAGGTCTTATTTTATCAATATAGAAATTAAGAAATTACTCAAAAACCTTGCAACAATTACATAAGCTGTAAAGATTCACAAAACAGTCTGTTTCACCACCTTCTAGCCTGACTTCAATGAAAAGACAACTTCAGAATCCCCATATCAGTGTTCTCCCTATATAACCAATATGAGTCTGGTGGCACTAACTGGAATTAATGAAGCATTATCAGACCCCCAAAGTAGTCTTCATTTTGAGCTGGGTTTGAAGAAAACATGCAAGTGATGTTTCAGCAGAAAAAGCTATGAAGTACAGTGATGATACACTTGCAGGTTTCAGTACAAGCACATTTGTAAAACCTGCAAGCAATGCATTGTCTGGCTATATAACACAATAGTCTAATAGTAAACTACTCGGCAATAAAACTTGCCAAAATACAAGAAATAAAACCAATTATATCAGTTGCCTAAGACATTTTCTTTCTTTCCTTTTATGCGAAATTACTACTTGAGCTTTTGCATTGTGTCTGTGAATGTAAATGCCATACTGCTAAGGAAAACACCTTCTGAAACTCAAATCATTCTCACCAATTTAGCAAGAAAACAGGTTTGATACCAGTCACAACATACGTTTGACTTATACCCGATCCTGTTTTTCCTCCCATGAAGCAGGGAGGAGGAAAACAAAATGAGCTAGAAACCTACTAAAGCAATGTTATCCACATCCCAGCTGCCTTTCTCAAGGCAGTGCCTTTTTCTGTATCCACACACAGCACTGTACAGAAACCTCCGTCATGGCTTATACTTCCCCATGTAGTTGCCTTGCTATGGGAGGGATATGGCAGTCAGGGTGATAAACCACAACCCAGGCACAAGTTCCCTCAAGCACCTTCCTGAATGTCAAGGAAGAGATTCCACAGGAGTCTTAGAAAAACCTCTGCTTTCATTACACGTAAGCTGAGACAAGAAAAAGCTATCGTGATTGAGTTTGTAGTACAATTGTCTTTATCAGGCCACATTACAACAGGCACCAGAAATTCTGCTACTCGCTTCTGTCACAATAAGAGAAATGGAGAACAATAATCAGCTTTACACTTATAAAAATATTAATTAAAACGCTGTCAGAATAAAGTTAAAAACTTACAGATATTTTTTTTTCAAATTCTTCACCACCTTCATGAAATACATTTGTATCTACTACCATTAACTTATTTGTCCAAAAAAGAAAAAAAATACAACAGATTATGAAAATATTTCTAAAAACACTGTATTTTTTATAATGAATATCAAATATCTACGATGAGCAAAACTGCAGACTATTTAAAACTAACCTGTATAACCAGAACAATCACTTGCAAATTCTGAAAGGATGACAGTTGTTAAACCTCAGTACCTTCCTAGTACTATCTACACCTCAGCCAAGAAATAGGAGAGAGATCACCAACTGCAAGTCATTATTACTTTGACTATCAAATAAGTTCCTAGGAAGAAGCCAGGTTTTTAACCTCCCATCACACTTCCAGTGGACTACTCTACAGGTGTATACCTAGCGTATGTGTACAGTCAAAGACAGATCTGACAAATTAATGAAAGAAACATTCTTAAACATAACCACTGATATACACTAGCATACTCGTGAAGTTGGTATGTTACTGACTCCTAGATGTTAACAGCGTTTACCAAGGAAAGTACCACTTCATGCTCCCTAGGCACCTGTCGCTGACCACTTCCCTGAGACAAGACATCAAGTGGATGAAATCCTGGCCTGGATGGTGTGTCTGAACTGGTCATCATTTCCTGGGAACAGACACAACCGGTAGTCCCACATACTGACCTTCTGACCAGACTTCCTTGCCATCTACAGAGACTCCAACCAGTATACCTGGGATTCCTGCTTCATCCTGTCAAAAAAGAAAAAAAAAGAGTGAAAACAAAGAATCTCTACAGTTTTTAAACACCTCCCAAGCTCTAAAGATGCACAAGCATCTACTATTACAAATATGATTGCATATTGTTGCAACATTACAATTTAAATTCTATTTAGTACTAGACGGTCCGAACAGGTATAAGCTGCTTTCACAAAACAAAGACTTCAATTCAGCAGCTCTGAAAAATACGTTTATTAGCGTAATAACAACTTAATGAAAATAACTTACTTCATAATTTAATGAACTTAACGAGCAGGATGCACAAAACTCAGACGACAGTCCACAGGCAGGCCATGCCCAGCACCACCTCCTGGGTGCACGCAGTCCTTCCAGGGGCTGCGGTTCCCTCCTCAGCAGGGCAGCTCCTCCAGAGCGCCCCCTCCGCAGCCCCCACGGCCCCCTCGGCTTCTCGCTCCCCTCAGGAACCGCTCTCTGGCGCCCGGCCCCGCGGCGGCCATCTTACCGCCCCTGCCCCTCCTCCGCCCGTCCTGCACGACCCCCAGCACCTTGATCCTCCGCAGCAGGTCTCGGCTCCTCTCGATGGCCGCGCCGAAGCCCCGAGGGGACGACGCCGGCATCGCCTCCTCCTCCTCCTGCCCGCCGCCGGCCTCGCACCCCGCCGGCACCTTCACCCCTAGCGCCAACCCCAGCGCCAGCCCCCAGCCCCAGGGCCGTCCCCCGGCGCCGCCGCCCCCTCGCCCGGCCGCCGCCAGCCGCCCGGGGGCCGCCGCCCGCCGCAGGGCCCGCGCCAGCCCGTACATGGCGGCGCCTCCCCGCCCCGGCCCGCCCCGGCGCAGGCGGCTCCAGCCGCTCCCGAGCGCTCGCTCGGCCGCGCTCCGAACGCGTCGAGCCCCGGCGGGGCCGCCGCGCCCGCCCTGCCCCTCAGGGCCGCTCCCCAGCCCGGCCCCGCCGCCGGACTAGGGCAGGAAAGCGGGCGGAGAAAGGGCGGGAGGAGGGCGGCCCCGCTGCCCGCCTCAGGGAGCTGCGGGGAGCCGCCAGGTCCCCCTCAGCCTCTTGGCCAGGCTGGGCAGACCAGGGGCCCTCGGCCCCTCCTCACAGGACGTAACGCCGAGATAAAACGTTTGCTAGATGGGCGATTTAATCTAAATTAATAAGAAATTACCAACAAACGTAGACTTTCCAAATGCCAGGTTTAGAATCAAGTTTCAGTCTACGACAGTGCTAACAGCATTGAGAGCTGGGTTTTCGATGTAGTTGCTCAAAGACTAGAGAGACATGCCAAGTGTCCTCCAAATTACACTTTTAAAGTATTTCAGACAAGTTTCCTCTAAACTTGTTCCATACTGCTTGCCAATAAACTTTTAATAGCTGTCTTTCTAATGATCTGAATGTTGTCTTAATAGCAAATTGGACCAAATGGTGACCAAATCATATTATTTATTACTCACGAAAGCAGGAGGATTTTCAGTGTATCAGCAGCTTGTGATTGATATATTGTACATATCAGCTAGATGCAAGCCCCGTCCAATAACCAGGCCTCTTATGAGTTTTGCCAAGTGGATGAGTCTGCAGATTTGGGATCCTCAGAGGAGCCCTTCATTAGCAATTAAGGGGAGTTTAAATGCCTAGTGCAAAGGCAAATCCATAACCACTCAACAGTGTTTGTGGAATTGTTAGTCCACATCTCTAACCAAGTTATCAAAACATCTTTGTTAGCATGAAGATACTCAGTCATATACCTTCCTATACAACAGTGCTGTGAAATTACTAATTACAGCAGATGATGTTAGGTTCCCTCCTTCAATTAACATTTCAGTCTTTTTTTTTAAATCACTTATTACTGCTCTTTACAATAGTAGACTACCCAGACCAAGAGTCAAATGCAATAGGGAAGGAGTGAGGGACTGATTTATACAATATAGTCCCAAATTCCCATGATGTTATACGATATTGTCCATGATGTGTAGAAAATCCTTAGGCTGATACTGAAAGTAGCTGGGCCCCTGACATACTTCGGAAAATGCAGAGGTGTACAAACAGCTGAGAAATGATCGGAGTGATGATCAGAGTGACCTTTGGTTTCAGCTGTTCAAAGTGAGTCCTTTTAAGAGAATGCCTTTAACTAGACTGTTATAAGACCTTAAACCTTGCAAATACAAACTAGATTGACCAGGATTACCATTACATAGCAATGCAGAAAAGTCCTTGTGCTGCAAACCCAGCATCCAGTTTAGTGGATTGTGCATTGCTTTGCCATTTCTCTCGTGGAGCTTTTCTGGAGTATCAAGACAATAAAAGACACATATACCTGTTACAGGATTGTTGAACATCAGCTAACAATCTTTAATAGGACCACTCCCTGAATGTTATAAATGTTGACAACAAATAAAAATGCTTATAAATGGAAAAAAAAAAAACAAAAAAAAAAAAGGAGTTGTAAGCAAAAGTGGGTAACCTGTCCTAGAACTCTGCATACGTTATGCTATAAGAAATTTCTGAGATGCTAACCTAAGGCATATGATATCCTTCTTCACGTCTGCTGATCTCAAAAAAACGCAGAATGCTGCAAGAAGTCAGGCTAAATAGCTTTCATGTATGAAGTCAAATGTACACCAGATAATCCACACTTCACTGCAGGCATTTATTCTCATTACTGTTTCTCAGTAAAATGCAGTTGTTTATCATGGTACAAATTCATACTCAAATGGTCCAAGATGCTGTATTTGCTTTCTAGTAAATCATTTTTGCTGCACCCAGCAAAAATGTCCCAGATAGCATTTTGCAGCAGGATGATTCTCTTAATTCTTAATTAACCTGCTTAGCAGGAAAACTTTGACACCACACTTTTGAATATGCCTAAGCCAGAAATAGATCTTGTCATTATTCTGATTGCTTTAGTGCAGTTTTGCATTAAATCCAGAAGCACAAGATGGCCTGCCCTTATCTGTTGTATCTTGGTAACGTTCTAAGGTGTTGACAAGTCTCTACACTCACTAATAGCAATAGAAATTTTTCATTAATCTCCTGAGATTTTAAGTTTTGTAAAGACTTAAACTATTAACTTCTAGATCTAAAAATACTGAATCACATGGAAAATAGCAGGCAAAACCTAAAATTGTCAAAAAATTAATCTGCATTTGTGTCCGATAAAATGAAGAAAAACAGGAAAGCAGCAATTAAATAAGTCATCTATATACACGTACAGAGATATAGGTGAAGTTGATGTTGATGGAAGATACAAAGTCAAGGGATAATGATTCCCTTGATCATATAATGTTTCTAAAGATGATTTTAAAAAAATCTAACTCTGTAAAGATGACAAATAAGAGGAACATTAGGTATAGACAGAAATCAAGCTCTGATTTCTCTCTTTTTCAGAAGCATTTTCATTTATTTGAGAACCAAGACAATTTTTATTTCCCTCTGTTTTGACGCATTCATACAGCAGATGGCAGTAAGAAACTTTATTAGTTTAACCACCTAGCAAAAGGGACAGTTCCACTAGTTGGATCTCTCGTGGTTGTCATGGTCTTAAAGAACAGAGTTGCTCTTATAGAGTCCTCACCCATTTACATTATTTGCTTGCTCTTGGTCAGTAAGCAGTTCTCGGGATATTATTTGTTTACAAAGTAAGGTAACAACTGCCTGATTACAGTACATGTACCATTACCTTAACACGAAAACAGTTAGACCCAGCCAAAAACCAGGCATCTCTTCCTGAACACATATGTAAATAGGTGTGTACTTACAGTTTGATGCTAAGATTAAAAGTCTTCTCTGAGCTTTTTTTTTTTTTTATTCAACTAAGATCATGAGTTGGTGAATTCTCCAACAACTTAGCCCACAAACATTAATCAGGAACAAATCTTGAAACATTCAAAAGATGTCTGAAGCAAGAGAAAAAATAGCATTAAAAACATGGGGTTTTTAGACACAGAGACCAATGTGCTTATCTTCAGCTGTGTTTGAACTATGATTCAGACATTTATCTTTATTCCTTGAGGAGTTCAGTTAGTAGCACTGATCATGCTATCATCAGACCAGCAGCACAGCTCTGCCGTACCCAATGTCCCCATCACAAACAAACAAAGCAGCAGCAGTGGTGGTCCCCAAGCCCAACCAGGAGCCCGGTGACTGGTCCTGCCTTCTAAGCAGCACTCATACACCTGGACTTATACACAGTACTACAGGTTGGCCACTGCTTTTTGTTGTTGTTTGCCTTTTACACACACCATAAAAGAAATGTAACTCTCCTTAATGTACTCAATTTTTCTGTGCGCTGAGGATGTGTCACTTGGGAATTATTTACTTTCAATAAAATAGAAAATGAAAGTTTTATAGTGCCACATTGCTACTTCCTTTGTTTTATGAGTTGCATGCAGTCTGACAGAGATCCTAGAAACAGGATGGAGCCTGGGAAATACTTCGCATGTCAGGGAAAGGAATGCTGAAAAGGCTGTGCTGGAATTACAGACCATCCAAAGGGCACACACATTTCTTTTTCTTTCTTCTTAGCAGAAACATTAGTTTTGAAGCTCCAGTTTCTCAGGGGTGATTTCCTCATACTTGCAATTCAAAGCCTGCTTTAAACCTCTTGGGACTCAGAGGAAAAAAAATTGTCATCAGCTGAAAATAAGCAATGAAGGAACATTTGGGAAAAATATCAGTGTAAAAAAAACAATGACAACAGCAACAACAACAACAAAAAACAACACAAGAAACCACATAGAATTGTTTCCTGTTTTTCCTGAAGTTCTCCTCCAGAGAGGAATAAACAATTTCATCCCTGAGAATGACTTCACATTTATCATTAAAAATTCAGTTGCTGTGTATAATCTTTTAACCCTCTCCAGCTTCTCTCTCCACTCTATGGGTAGACATACAATATACCATGGAAAACATTGTCTTTCATGACCACTGTCCACATGAATGCAATGGGTACCAGACAGCATCACTGCCTTCAACTTTTCCAGACATACCTTTTCAAACTGAAATAGGTTGCTTAAAAAAAAAAACAAACAAAAAAAAAAAAAACAAAAAAACACCCACAGAAGGTGTAAAACACCTGAAGAATTAAGCATATTAACCCTAAAGTATGATTCTGATTCTCAAAATGCCCAAATAAACAATTATAAAGTACATGCACTTAGGAAAGCTTTCCAGCTTGCTCTAAAAGGATCTCCTCACAATTGGGTAATAAGTACTTCTTCTCCACTCCTCCACAAAATAAAAACCTCAATAAAATGAACAAGTCCCAGACAACTATGCATGAAGAAGCGTGGCAGTGAGAACTGTGACTGCCTTACATTGCCTGACTTACTGGGGAGAGCAGCTGACCATTCAGTCATGCTCAAGTGCCATGGTCGAGTGCCACCTCCACAGCACGTATCTACAAGTAAGGAAGAACAGGCACAATTCCTTTGTCAAACAGAGCAACAGGAGGAAAAAATGTTTCCAGATCTACATGAATTGTCATACACATCCCTGTATGAACAACACAGTCCTGACTTGCATTTACTATCTTTATCTGTCCTTCTAGACGGAAGAGTTGATTTTTCTCAGTATCTGTTCTAGCAATTTTTCCAAACCCTCCCTTATTTGAAGATACAGCATGTATTTTTACCTGTAAAAAGCAAATGCTTCTCTGCAGTTCACAAAAAACACTCATCTAGCTATATGTGCATGCTGGCTTCTATCCCATTTTCCACACATTCACTGCTATGACTATCAATTTTTGTGTGGTTTCACCTACCTGTGCTGCAATTACACCTTCATTTTGCTCTTTGCTCTGCAGACATCTCCTGTGCCACTAAAAACACTCTTCGTGAGAACTGAGCACAGATAACTCAAACTGCATAGGCTAGTCAAAAACAGGAAAAAGACTCTTATCAAATTAGTAACATCTAAGATATTTGGGTGGAGGCATTTGGCACTGGCCTTGCATATTCTTACGGGAACAAGTCCATGCATACCATACAGACTCCATTCTTTTACTTCATATCATTGTTCCCAAGCTGAGACATGTTTTGAAAGAGCTTCTCTGTAGATCTGTAAATGCACAATTATTAAATGCTACACAGATCAGTGAGAAGGTATTTTATTCTACTCCTTTTTAAACATGTAAGATAACTGTACATCAAGTCAATTGATTTTGCACAGATTTGTGCTGCATCAGGATCACTGCAAAAACTCAAGTAGGTATTTTTGTACCTCCTTCTGCATGCAGAGCTATGCAAAACAGCTAAGACCATTTTAGAAACTTCACTATTGAGGGAAGACAACTACCTGGGATGACTGACTTCTGCAGTAAGCACCAAGTGGGGGATAGTTTGTCCCTCCTGCCACTTGGAAAAACTGATCAACTGCTTGAGTTGGAAATACTATAATTTATTTTCTTTGACCTTGAACTAAATCAGAACATGCCATCAGCACAGAACAGTTCCCTGTTTTAGGTGCTATATATACTATCTGGCATACGGCAGTGTATGCCATGTACACCTGCACACACACATACTTAACTTACAGTTATACTTCAAAGTGTGATTAACAATAAAAAAAGAACAGTTTTACTACCTGTACCCTCATTTTAATGTCTGCCACTCAGCTGGATTTGTTTCATGCCATTGTCTCTGGCAACAATAATCTTGTAGTGGGAAGGTTTCATGATATTGATGAAAGCATCAGAAGAGGATCAAGCTTAGTACTGAGGCTGAAGGGGAAGCTGTGCTCTACTTAATAACATTTTTTTCCAAGTGGTGTAATGAGATCTAACAAGCTTCTACATGACTTGGTGCCTGTCAAGTTTAAACAACAGGTGTGAGTAAAAAACATTTCATATATGGATAGCTGGTGTTTTTGTAAATTCTCAAACAGGAAAACAAAACAGAAACTAAGGGAAATCCCCACTTCATTTGAGAAATATATTAGTAACTGAAACAAAGGGACATACTTAAGTTTTGCTATTGAACTGAAGTACAGAGAGTAATTCTTTCATTATTGCCTCAAAGGCAAAACAGACACGGGGAAAAGAGGAACTGGGACAACAAATGTCAGAGCTTACTGGGTTTACTGTATTTCAAATAGGGATTCTGAAACCTTTCACTTTTAATACAGCATCTGGGTGTCCTACTGAGACCAGCATAAACTGCTACATGCTTAGCACCTTTGAGCATCAGTCTCTTTCTGTAGAAACTGAAATACAGAATTGCAATCCTAGCTGGGGACAGCTGTTTATTTTTTATACCTACACACTAAATGGTCACAGCAGCTAATGACCCAGCAGTTTTGACTCTAGAGAGAACTTCCTAGTGTGCAATGACTCTGTAAAGCTCAATCCTACAAGAGTGAGACTTTGCTCTAATGGAACTGTTTGATTAAGGGTTAGTCAAATGGGTAGGCCTTAGTTGTATATATACGCCATGTATGTGTATGGTCACAGTTGTATATGCACTTGTCTGGTTTGGTAAAAGGAACTTCTTTGGAACAACTGAGCTAAAATGGCACAATCCCCTGTATCACATAATCAAGCTAGGTTGGAAGAGACCTCCAAGATCACCAAGTCCAGCCTCTGACCTAACACTAACCAGTCCTCCACTAAACCATATCACTGAGCTCTACACCTAAACATCTTTTAAAGACCTCCAGGGATGGTGACGCCACCACTTCCCTGGGCAGCCCGTTCCAATGTCTAAACAAGCCTTTCGGTAAAGAAGTTCTTCCTAACATCTAACCTGAACCTCCCCTGGTGCAACTTTAGCCCATTCCCCCTCGTCCTGTCACCAGGCACGTGCGAGAACAGGCCAACCCCCACCTCGCTACAGCCTCCTTTGAGGTACCTGTAGAGAGCGATAAGGTCGCCCCTGAGCCTCCTTTTCTCCAGGCTGAACAAGCCCAGCTCCCTCAGCCGCTCCTCGTAGGACTTGTTCTCCAGCCCCCCCACCAGCTTCGTCGCCCTTCTCTGGACCTGCTCAAGCACCTCGATGTCCTTCTTGTAGCGAGGGGCCCAAAACTGAACACAGTACTCGAGGTGCGGCCTCACCAGAGCCGAGTACAGGGGGACGATCGCTTCCCTAGCCCTGCTGGTCACACTGCTTCCTATACAAGCCAGGATGCCGTTGGCCTTCTTGGCCACCTGAGCACACTGCTGGCTCATATTCAGCCGACTATCAACCATCACTCCCAGGTTCTTCTCCGCCAGGCAGCTTTCCAACCACTCATCTCCCAGCCTGTAGCTCTGCTTGGGGTTATTGCGCCCCAGGTGCGGGACCTGGCACTTGGCCTTGTTGAACTTCATGCAGTTGACCTCAGCCCATCGGTGCAGCCTATCCAGATCCTCCTGCAGAGCTTTCCTACCCTCGAGCAGATCGACACACGCACCTAGCTTGGTGTCATCTGTGAACTTACTGAGGGTGCACTCAATGCCCTCATCCAGATCATCGATGAAGATGTTAAAGAGGACCAGCCCCAGCACCGAGCCCTGGGGGACGCCACTAGTGACTGGCCTCCAACTGGATTTGACTCCATTCACCGCGACTCTTTGGGCCCAGCTATCCAGCCAGTTTCTAACCCAATGAAGCGTGTGCCAGTCCAAGCCACAAGCAGCCAGTTTCTTTAGGAGAATGGTGTGGGAAACAGTGTCAAAAGCCTTACTGAAGTCAAGGTAGACCACATCCACAGAGTGATTGTACAAACTATCTGCACTCAATTTACACTTGGATTTTACAGTTTCTCCTTATTTCAATCCAAATCGTTAATAGCAAATAATTGACAAAAATAATGGATTCAGAATAAACCCTTCCAATTGATCCTTTTGCTAGCTGTGGAATTTCTAATGTCTGCAATAGTAAAACTGATAGAGAAGCAGAGGGAGGACTCAGTAACTTAATTGCTCAAAATAGCAACATTTGCTCCTACTCCTCCAGATCCAAAGACATACAGGCCTGTGTGCTTTTTATTGTTAACCTACAACAATAACAGTTAGTTTCAGGGCAGAGCACCTCCCATGGATTAACAACCCATTTGGGTCCCCTAGGCTGTATCTTGTACCTACAAACCTTTCCATTAATTCATTAATCTCCAGGAAATGCTCCACACTCAGACACGTCTGTGTGCAAGTAATAAAAGCACACACACACACACATTTGCTAAATGCTGAAAAGCAGCAACTAAGGACAGCTTTTTTTTTTTCCCCCGAGGCGTCACTATTTCCTTGTTAAGATGACTGATAATGAAGTCCTAACTTACAGAAACTTAACCTAGATTTTGCTGATGTAGCAGGAATCACTGTCAGAAAAGATTTTGTACTTACTTGTATGGGAAGAGTTCCTACATATTGTGCTTTAAAACCAGAGGAGTAACAAAGAATGTAACATTCTCATGCCACCTTCCTCTATGTCAGGGGAATGCGGTGCTATTGGAACAGGACAAGGCACAACTACATGGCAGCACTTGGATGGGAGGATTCACTCTTCCATAAATCAGCTTCGTGCTGTCCACCTTCCTGACTGGCCTTTGGCCCCCTGTGCACAATTCTGTCTTATCATTCCCCTTTTATCTGCTTTCTTGCCTAGTTCATTTTCTAGTTTTTTTTTTTTTGTTGTTGTTGTTGGTTTTTTTTTGTAGATATCCTGCATAAATTACATCATCCCTTTATCCTATTTTATACTGTGCATGTGTACAATACTTTCCTTTTTACAATAAACAATCACAGAATCCTGTATTTTGGAAAAGACCCTTAAGATCATGAAGTCTGCTCAATCTTTTTAAAGGAGATGCTGTTTAACTTGTATGTAGCCATCCCTGAAACCATCCAAGAGAGGGAAAAAAAACAGTACTGAGGTGCCCTGAAAGGCCAAAATATTCATATCCAAAAAACTATGTGATGTGCCTTCAGTTCATCACACTGCGAGTCAAGAAATAACAACTGTAAATAAAGCATTTTCTGTGCATCTAAGATTTCTGTCTGCCTCTGTCTCACATGGTTTCTGCTCTCATATAAACTAACTGGGATATCTAGTCGCTCACTGAGTTCCCCTCATTATTAGAGGTACCCTGCATTTATTCAATTAAAAAAAAAAAAGCAACAGTTTTCTCTACATCTCAGACTTGCCAGTTTGTAAACTATGGAGGTTTGCAACTGAAGCCAAGAAACTTAAACAAACTTGTCTGGATTTTTCCATACCATAGTCTTGGAAAGCACACAACCCACCATGAAGAAAGAACGTTACACAGCTTTCCTCCGCTAAAAGGAACTATTCCTGTATACTTTAAATATATATTTAAAACACTATTTTTTTCAACAACTTTGCCCCTTTTGCTGTAATTCCCACATAATCTTTCACTTATGCTCATTTTATTATTAAACAAGCCAGAAATATGGAAAAAAATAAGCACTTAAAAAAAGTATTTTCCCAAGGGCTGATCCAGGTAGAATTTTTTTCCCCCTTTTTTCCTTTTTTCTTTTAACTTCATAGCTGGCTAATTACTTTCTCATTTTGCTGTCACTAGTGAGATATTGCAGCAGTCATAAGACAGCCTAGCAAAACATATTCCAAGAACACTAACAGTATAGTGAAGTTTGCCAATTTAATCCCGATTTTAAACACCATCAGTGATGGCAGAAATCTGTCAGTATGCACAATTGCACAATACCTTTTACAGACTCAGATTTCTCAGTCAGGTGCTAGAGCTCTGACAGACAGAGCTCTATAGGTGCAGGCTACTGTTTTAACTTCACTTTTTAAAGACAAGGGCTTAGATGTCACTCTTACCTCTGTCTCTCCTCCTGTTTAACAACTCACATTTTTGTGAAAGTAAGGAACCATTAAATAAGTTAGAAACAGAATGCCTGTGAGCGTCATGGTGGAAGGAAAGGCACACCCTACAGCAGGCCTTGCTTTTTCCTACATATCAAAGAAATCCCAAGAGGGAAGCCAAGAGAACTCAAATGCATCAGTATCTGCAAAAAAAAAAAAAAACAACTTCACTGCATGTTTAAAATCAACCACAAGACATGAAACTGCAAGAAGGCAGGTTCTGCCAGTTTCAGTGCTCTCAGTACTGCTTATTTAATTGGAAGAAAACTCACAAAACAACCAAGACAATTACAGAGCATGGCTGCACAACAATGGTAGATTTCAGTCTCTCAAATATGTTTCCGCATTGAAGAAAAGGGCGAGTAACACGCCAAATCAAGACACGCACACTGGGGAGTGCTGAATGAGGCAGGGTTTTGCCATTTAAACAATTTTTGGAGTTAACATTTCTAACAAAGTACCTTCAAGAGAAATTCCTATTTGTTTGGCATAGTTAAATCAAGAACCTGACTTATGTATTTTACAAGCCAGCACTTACTAGTTTCACGAGTTCTGTCTGATCAGACATTGCAGGCAAACAATCCACAATGGCTAGTGGCTTATGAGGTATGGTGGAAACAGATTTTTCATATTCCAGCAAATACATCTATGTATCCATTTATGTGTCTGTTGGTAGTCAGCCAAAAACACCACTCAGGGTGATTCACCTTCATATTCCCTCAGCTCTCCTTGGAAACAGAGCGCTTTTATTCGCTTGTTACAATGGTTTATTGCCATTACCTACAACAATATGCTTTGGGGAAGTCTATTCTAGAAACATTTTTTTAGATTAATTTCTATCTCCTTGTTTGCACATTCTTGCCCTTTTAATGGGACATGATCTCACTAAGACATTAAAACCACAGCCTCCCCCCACCCTTGCACACAGTAGGAGGTGATTTCAGGCTTCCTAAACCACAGAACAGTTTGTGGTCTCCTAGAAAGCAAACAATTTTAAGCAGCAGTCTGACCTTACTCAGGCACATGGTTTAGGTCCCACGCATGGACCATAGGACCAGACCATAAAAGCAATCCAGTGGAGCAGGCAGTACACTTTGCTCTGGAAGACTCATGGCCAAGAGCCATGAACTCCTCTGATCAGCTCTCAGCTCTACCTAGCATAGCACTTCCCACTGCAAACAGCCCTGCTGTGCCACAAGACTGGAACTCTTGAAGCCCAGTTATCTGACACCTTATCTTTGTACTACGGAACAAGAAAGATTAGTTTAACTTACCTCTGCATATCTTATATTTGGAGCTTTACACTGTCAGCCTCCAGTAAAAGCTTAAGATACTGATAGGGCTTTGGAACACGTATTTTGCTTTCCAAAATCACTTACATGAGAATGTGAAGCCACAGATCTCCTTTCCATTCAGGATGACTTGGTAGCAGCTAATGAATCATGCAGAGGTGTGCCAAGTTGCAAAGTTCTCCCTTTCATAACACAATCAAAACAAAAACTAAGGCCAAAGAGACTCAGATCAGTAGATCCTCCCTTTCTGACTCCCTTTTAACCTGACACCATCATGTAATACTTCATCCTTTCACCACTACACAAGCTCCTGAGAAAGTCACCTGGTTTCAGTTGCTTGCTAAGGAGATTCTTTGATGATCTGGAGAGCTACCTCTACCTGCCTCTTACCAAGCTCCTTGCTGCTAGAAGGATGGACAGCATCAGCTTTCAGCAACACACTACAGGAAAAGAAGGGATGAGAATTATTTCTGAAGTTTCTCATTGACATACCTTGTAATTCAAATAAAAATGCCTAGACATGCTGAAATCAGCAACCAGTAGAAACAAGTTAAGTGAAAGGATCTCTCATGAAGTTGGCACATCATTTTGAAAAGTTTATCACCATTGTCAAAGTAAATTAATACATATTAACAATTAAGATGAACAAGTACAGGGTAGCATTTCGAAGAACACAGCTGTTAGGGCTCACTTTCCAACAGAAGCCAATGATGTCACACAGTGCTTCTACTGAAAACAGTTTTGATCAACAAGTAGTAATTTTTGAAATTCTTGTCGTCCCTTGAGTGGTGGTTGCTGTCTGCACCCATCTGGGAGTACAATCAGGTGACAGGGATAGATTCCTGCAGTACAGTTCTCAAATGGCCCTTTTAAGCAGCTGCAAGTCCATGCAAGTCCAAACCACTGCATTTGTTTGTGTTTTTATACTTTTATACATTAACCTGATAGCAAAGGAGAAACCGAAAGCCAATGTGGTAATGATGCATCTCAATGACACCCAGCACACTTGTGCATATTTTACACAGCAATACACAGACAGGTAACTAATATGATGAAAAACAAATCACAGTAGAGTAAAATTTAAAAAATGTCCTAAAATGTGCATTTTATTCCATATCATTATACAATGTTTACATACAGGTATACTTTTAAAACTGCTCAAAAGAAAGTGTGAAAAATAAAGTGAGGCGAATATCGATTTATAAATTCCACCCCCTCCCCAAGCTCCACACAAATAAAATACATTTTAAAACAATCTCTTCCAAATTAGTTTTCTCCTGAATTTATTGAATCTTTCATTTCAACATGAAAAATACAATTGAACGAATACTCAAGGTGAAATGTTGACCTACACTTCTGTAATGAGTCAGAAGTACACAATTTAAAACCTTCACAAGCCTTTGCTTTTTGCTGCTGCTTGCATAACCTTTGTTTTATTGAATTAGAAGGCACAGAACGTCCAAATCCTCACAGATTAGTAAAATTCTGATAAAAATAAATTACTATGCTTGACTACTCCTGACTTATCTGGTATCACACAAAAGACTTTAGTAAAACCTTTTGTTGAAAATAGCACCATTTCCACTTAATCTCTTTTGAATATGTATCATCATTCTTGTTAAAAGTTGTGGTGGCACTTGAGGTGGGACACTTTCAGACAGCCAGGGTCCTTCAAAAGACTAAGCACATCAAATTACTGAACTCTCTACAAAGTGTAGGTAACATTTTCTTGGGAAATGGCACATTTAAACCGTAATGTATTAGCTTAACCTGCATATGGCTTGCCCATTTTGGTGTTTCCCTGACCCCTGCCTGATAATTTAGCTGATGTTCTTGTGACTGTGGTGAAACTAAAATAACGACATGTTTATGGGGCTTCGCGGCAAGCAGGTGTAAAAATAATATAACAAATAATGTGGTTGCTGCTAAGAAGGTTTTCACATGTTGTTTAACTCCAGTAAAGTTTGATCCAGCATCTGATGCATATTAAGGTTTTCTTCTTTGGCATGCGCCACTTTCTCTGTTGTGGGATTAGAAAATCAAAACATGAATAGTAGTTCTTCAGAGGCACTGATTCTAAGAATATGAAGGCATGCAATGATCATTTCTAATCAAGGGTTTATAATGTAAGAAATGTGCATGCTCATAAATACTGATATCTCCAGACAACACATCCAGATATAATTCCAAATTAATAGAACAAATGGCAAGCAATGCAAGTTTAGAACTGTTTGCAGGTACATTTGTTTATAAAATGCACTGCCAGAGATTAGGTTCTTGTGTGTTCTAGAAGTTCTTTGCTATAGGAAACTGAGACAGTGAATGGATTTATTTTTTTTTAATTAGGGCAAAAAGAAAATGATTGAGTTCTTTGCAGACCCATAACTAAGGTTAATTTATTTCAGAACTTGCAAAGAACAAACAAGAAATTAAAACCAATCTCCCCTTCAGTCAAGTGACTTTTAAGAAATGTGTTTCTTCTAAAACCTAAAAAATGTTAGTAGTTTTATGTTGCATGCACATTTTCATAGGACTGTCATTGTAACACACTTATATGATACAATAAATAAGCACAATGTTTTAGAACTGCGTCATACCAGAATCCAATAACAGTAACTTCATACTAATGCAAGCATACCTTTAAACTGACCAGGTATTTTCAGGTAGAGCTCTCATTCCTAGCATTTTTTTTCTTTATATTTTTTTAATAAATATTTCTTTTTTTTTTTTTTTTGAAATTAAATACATGACCATTTCATAGTAATGCAAAATTTATGCATTGAAGTCTCCAGATAACAAAACAGCTGTAAGTATACTTTGTGTTGGTTCTGAAACATGAATCCTGGTGAACAATTTTCTCTCATCCACTTTCTAGTAAAACTCCCAGGGCCAACTCATGACATCAACAAAGCAGCGGGTCTCTCCAGAAGAAAGGCTGCTACTTTCTGGACACTTAGCTAAGTGCTGTTACGTGTTTACTGAAGTGGAAAGGAGCTATTGCACAGCCAAAGAGCACACTGCTCCTCTGAAGGAGGTGTGAATACAGATACACGAAAGCCTCCTCACAAGGAGCATTTGTGTATTTTTCCAAAATAAGATTAGAATTTAATCCATTAATATACTGCAGAATCAACAATCTGAAAAATCAACGTCTATGTTTCTTGCTTATTTCTACATTTACTGATTCATTCTTGAGGAACTTTCAGAATAAGCAGTTTTTAAATAAGTTAACAACATAGTCACAACAAAGTTTAATCCTCATTCAATGCCAGCTTTAGTTCATTAGTTAGGCGACTGTTTTGCTCAAGTTGCTGGTAGAGTTGGTCTGTACAGGCAGCAAGCAGGTTAGAAGGAAAAAGAGGCAGAATGAAGACAGATTAGACAGAGAAAACAGATAAGTAAGTTAATAAAGAAACTGGTCACACCACAGACAGTTCAGTAACAGAAACATTTTACCTTTGTTTCCTAGAACTCTGGTAATTAAATAGCTACTCCAACGAACAGCTACTCTAATCTGCAAAGGACTTGCTAAAACTCCAATGCAGAGAACAGCTGTGAGACAGGCAAATGGGAATACAAATGGAAGAACAGCAGCTATATTCCTAGAAGAATGAAGTCCTGCTTTAACCTTCATGAACAATGCATGGAAGATTTGTTTTATGAGCGCCAATTTTCTTCGTGCATTTTTCACAATGTGGTGGAACGTCATCTGTCAGCTGCCAGAAAGCAACTGTGTCATAACCAGTCTAACCAACAGCAGGAGAGATGCTGAGAGCATGAACTACCTGCCCCTAGGTTTGACTCTCATTGTATACCTTTATTGAGGAATCTTACAGCCCAAATATTATTTTTGATGGGTAAACATATTGTTATCACTGATATTAACACACTTCAATATCTGTAAATTGTCCAGTGGTACTTTATAAAAAGACAACCCCAAAACACTTGGTGAAAATGAAATGGAAGCATGAAAATCTGCACAGCTTGAATACAGCAAATTGACAGGATGGTTCACTTCCATGGTCAAACAGAACACCCACAGCTATGATGCAACAGTGAATTTAGTGAGTTCTGCAGAAAGAAGAAGTTCTCTGATGGTCTTTGATGATTATTTTTTCCTCTAATTGTCTATATTGGACTCAGTAGTCTAGATTCAAACAGTACTCCTGACCTCTTGATCCCAGATTATTCCACTACAGGAAAAGACTGGTTCTTTTCCACAAGATTCTTAACAGCTTTCACAAAAATCCTCTTCCCCTGTGGCACTTGGACATAACAGCCCACAGCAATAGCAAAGCCTTTTTTTTTTTTTTTAAGCAGTGAGCTACTCCATACAACACACTTGCACTGAGTGGCAGCTCCTGACAACTTCTCCCCACAGCCTAAACTCCAACAGCCAGCTCAGTAAAAGCAGGACACATTTCACAATTCTGTTCTTGGTCCAGAAACAATTGTTTTTTTGTCTCTACTATGAGGATAACATTTGACACTAAGACACACATGGAAAAAACATTGAGACATCATCATAATAAAAATTCTACTTTGTTTGGCAAAATGTATTTAGTTGTTATTCAAATACGACAACAGAATTTGAATCACAAACTTGATGCTTACCTTCATCACAGAGAATTAATTAATCTCTTGGTTTGAGGCAGAAACTTCCAGTGTTTCTCAACAACCACAATGAGACTAAAAACCCAGGTCAAGTGTGGAAATGTTGTGAGTGTAAAGTCAGCTCTTGACTACCTGTACACAAGTCTGGCGAGGTTGTGATTTATCATGCAGATAGAGCCAAAGGTCCTGGCTCCATACATAGCCACTTTGGGCCAAGCAGTGTGTTTGACTTCTGGTGCACAACCCCTGAAGCTCAACCTCAGCAGAGCTACCCTTGCATATCGCGTATCCCAGGCAAATGAAATGTCAGAGCCAGCTTTGAACTTCTGTCAACCACTCATGTATGCTACTACCTACACATGGCCAGACCTTGTGGGATGTACAGCCTGATGTACAGGTCATGTCCAAGGGTGACAGCGTGCTGAAGTACAGTGCACTGAGAAACCTGAACAGCTCCGTGGAGTTAACATCAGTGCAGCACAGCCAGCTACGGATTCTGTGGGCGGCTACCTGGATATATGCACTTTGCTACCCATTTCTAATCCTCTGTCCAGACACTCATCACCCCCAGTGCAGATGACTGATGATGCATGTTTGAACAGAAGTTTTTAATTAAATACTGACATTCAGAAAAACTGTAAACTTTTCACTTTTTTTTTCCTTTTTTAATATTACTAGGTTTCTACATTGGGTTTTTCTGTTGCTATTTCTTCAGAAGCAACAGTATTGCAAAGAAAAAACATTACTGACAATAAAAGAAATTCAGCAGATTAAGGGGTTGGAGTTGCTGTAGCACAACATACACTGGTTAAGCTGCTAAATGGCAGGACCATGTTCCCCACGACATTTGCATGTGTGAAGTTAACCACATTCGCTTCAGTCATTTTACAAATGCTCATCCAATTATAATTAGCCTTCACACTAAACATTTTACTTTTCAGTTGCAATACACCAAGTGTATTCACTTACTGTATCTTAGCTGATAAGTACTAAGGTATTGAACTCAAGTAACTGTACAACCTGCGATTGCTGATAGGTATCCCAAGAAAGCCACATTTACAAGATAAGCTAGAACTCAGCTGTGCTGCGTTTGGAGATTACTTAGCCACTGCAATTTGGAACTTTAGCAATGTATGCAGTAATAGGTGTAATCAGAAATCAATTCAGTTTAAACTGATTCACCTGAACGTGAACTGAAAAATAACTTTTAATTGTGAAGAAAATTAAATTAAAATAAATAAGTTAAATTTCCTAGTGGCAAATAGCTACAAAAAAACCAAGGTGTCACTATTTAATGTTTCATACTCAACTAGGCACTACCAAATCAACTGAAAGTCAACGTTTAAGCTTTCAAACCTGAAATCAGTGTAGCATTGTAGCAGAATCATCACGTTATTACATTAATAACGAGAAGTTTCCTGTTCCAATTTTAAGACATTTCTCATGAGTCTAAAATTTAAACTCACAAATCTGAGCTAAGTACAAGAGTGGAAATCTACTGAAATCTCTGCTGAATTTTCAATCACATCCTGCCACTCAAGAAAACTCTAATGAAAAAGTAAGCACACAGTATCTTCACTGACCAATCAAGGTGCAGAAGAGGGGAAAACTTTTTGCAAAGTATTTTGAATTTTTGATACTGCCCCTTTAAATCTCTCAGAATTAAGCTGAAGAACATATTGACATAAAAACAGGAAATCTTCAGCATCAAGCTAGGAGAAAATTTTGGGCTTTAAAGTGAAAAATCTAATGTCAAAGGCTTAACTGCTCTCAGCTACGCTCCCACGACCAAGTGACCTTAAGGCAGTAGTGTTTTTGTAGATTTTGGCCCAACAATAACAACTGAAAAATTTCACATTAAATTTGTTGTTTTATCTGCATCATAGTTTGGAAAAGAGTGAGACCATAACTGGTCAGTATTAACCCCAGAATATCAAGAATGGTATCCTTATCCCATAGACTCCTGTTGCTGGCTTTGTATTGTCAACAGTCAGGTAAAATTGTTTGTAGAAGAAAAATGGAAGCATCAACAAAAATTAAATCCCTAATGGCAGAAAAAGTATATTCTTTTTTATTAATAACTGAAGTGGCTCTTTAAATAAATAAAAGGCAAGGGGATAGCAAAAGGGATACAGCTGGGATGTTTATTTTACATTGAGAGATGTAGAGTTTCTGTACAATAGAGCACAAAAAGCATATTCCGAGACAGGTGCTAGAAGGATAGAGTCAAGTATGCTAGAAGACAGGACAGTGAACCATGAAACATCCAAAATCTTGGCAAGATGTTTTATCCAACCTGATGAAGATGTCTTTGGAGAAGTGAAGCAAAGAAAATTATCTGCATGAAAAGAAAAAGTGAGATAAGATAGGAAATAAAAAAGCGCAGGAAAAAAAAAGTCCAAAAAAGCAGCACGCAACAGAATCCAGCATGCCAGGATGACTACTAGTGAAATGCCACACCATGCTGGGATTGGAATGCTACAGCAATTTCCTCATGTACCAGTACTACATTTTAAAGCCTGTTTTCTATCTGGAAATATCCCAAATGGACGAAATACTGTAATCTCTGTATACAGAGGAGGAAAAAAAAAAAGAATATTTGTTTGATAAGCCACTGACTAAACTGATGTGCTGGTACATCACAATCAAAGCATACAAAGCAATCAATATTAGACCCCTAATAAGTTGTGGAAGAAAGGGAGGAAAGCAATGTAGAAATGTGGGGATTAAAAAAAAAAAACACCAAGGAAAAAATATTTAAAATATGGGTGCACGCAAAATACATGTTAAGCCCTGCTCAGAGCTAATGTCTTGCTGGAAGTGCTAGCTTCCAAAAGTTCTCAGACTGGACATCACACCTCACAAGCACTTGAGAAAGCCAGAACTCTTCCCATGTCAGTTTTACAGGGGTTCATGCAAATGAAATGTTATGAGCATGGGAAGGTGGATTTAGCACAGCTGACCTCTGTTCAGAGTTTTACATCAATGCAGGAAGAGTCAGTATGTATGAATCACTGCATGGACTAGTCGCACCTTACAACCGATCGTTTTGTATTTCTCCCACCTAAAATGATTTTTCTTTCTCTCCTTATAACTAAAGTTGGTTTTACCACACTTTTGCTATTTATAAATTAAATTACTACTACCCTCCACAAAATATGCAGAAATAACCTACACTTCAACTGTCACTTTCATGGGTCTAAATCATAAAGTGTTCCTATTTTTCACACTTGTAACTTAATGCTAACAGCAGAAAATTTCAGAGCAGTCTAGGATATTTAAGACACACGCATTCCACTATTATTAACAGAGCTAAGTCTAAATTCCTTTGAAACTCTTTTAAGAGCTTTACCAGAGCAAAACACACTCAATGCAACATGTATACTGAGATTATCATCTTTTGGCAAATTCAAAATGATGGGCCCGATAAGAAATACATGAACAGAGGTGAACTGAAAGGATAAGTGCAGAGCTACAAAGGGCAACTGCAAGACATAAGGATTGCAGATACATACTGAAAGAGTAAACGCAAGCTCATTAGCTCATTGATTAGCTTACAAAATCACCATGAGTATTTACCAGGCTCGGCACAACACTCACCCACACTTTGCCACGGTAAAGAAATTGTTCATGGTATTTTGTACACCTAGTCTCGCTAAAGAAATGCGTCTCCCGCTACAGAGGGAGTATGATTTCACAAAGCCGGAACCGCGCAATCAATGAGGGCAGGGAAGCAGGTGCAGGCACAAGCTGGGAAGACATTTACATGGAAGTCATATCGTTGAGAGCGTGGTCGAGCTCCTCACTGATGGCTTTGTACTTCAGTTTCTGAGCATATAGCTCATCTAACATTCCCCCCAGGGAAAGAAGAGGTGCACGAGGAAATGGAGTGTGATCGTGGGATGGAAGATGAAGGCAATGGCATGTGATACCATCCAGAAGCAGCAGAAAAGGGTAAGAATGCACAAAAAGAATTGTTGCAGCAGACAGGACAATGAAAAAAGAAAATAAAAGATTAGGGAAGAGTAAAAAACAAACAACAACTGTGAGTAGTTTCATATGACAAGTTCATTAACTGCACTGCCAGTGGGACAACCTGTGATATAAACAAGATGAAGGAAACAAAGTGTATATGGGAAGCTAAATCTGTTTCCCTGACCTAAATTTTTGTTCTAATGCACATCAGGAGGGCACACAGGAGTTACAGAAGTCAGTACCAGGGACAGGAGATCTGAAAATGGGTCTCAAGAAAGATGGTAATTTTTCCTTTTATTTTTAGAAAAAAACACACACTTACAGAACAACAACAAAAAAAACATGTTTTGGTTTGGGTGATCTGTCAAGCACTTTTTAACAGAGAATTTTTGTTCTAAGAACTTAGCTTTTCATTTCTGCTTCCTGAGTCAGCGACCATAAACTTGCAGCAGCTCCCCAGCTATATTTTGTACCCTTTACACCTAAGTCTGACATGCCAAGCAATCAAGCTTATTAAATCCTAGACTATGTAACACGTCTAAGTAGTGAACTCCATACAACTTTTTATTACCAAGCACTGCTGAATTGTTTTCTCTGGAGGGAGAAAGCACATTCTACTGCAGTTCTGAAAGATTTAACAAAATCTTAAAACAAACTCCATGAATTTAAATAAGCTGTCCTCCCAAGTATATATACAATCCAAAAGATTTACTGAAAACCAGCAACTGTTCTATGTCACAAAATGCCTGCCCTGATCACAATAATAAATTACGTCAGCCTGTTACATTCTTAACTACTAGAAACCTAACTCTTCACCACCTTTATAATAAGCTAATGCTACTTATCTAATCATTTACCCTATACATTTATAAAACTCCAAGTAGACAAGTGTAAAGCAGAAAATGAAAGGAGTCTTGAGAACATCAGAGAAAAGGAACAGGCAAGAGCAAAACACTGTTCACCTGAAACATTTAAGTCAGCAATATATTTCAATTTTTTTTTTTTTTTAAAGAACTTTTTAAACAAACCATATTTATATAAGCAGGACAAGTTAGGCAAGTAGAATTGTGTACTAGATAAAACCAGGAGAATAAAAGATCTGTATTTCTTTAGTAAATAAGGAAAACAAGGACCATACCTTCTAGGTCATCAATGCTCTTCTCCAGCTTGGTTACTGACCTCTCAGCAAATTCAGCACGGGTCTCAGCCTGAAGTCAAGACCAGTACAAACGATTGTAGGGAATACATATTACTTACAAATAGAAGAACAGCAATTCATAAGAGGGAAAAAAGGACAATGAGAGGAATAAGATTAAAAATAATTAAAACAGCAAGGCAATGCTCCTTTTTAGGAATGACATCCAACACTATACCCCGAAATGACATGTTCATCCTTAAAGAATCACAGTAGTTTTTATATTAAAAGAATCAAAATTTTAGTCAAAGATCTGTTATAAAGAACAGCTCTAGTTTTACCTCCTTCAGTTTGTCAGTCAGGACTTTGATCTCCTCCTCATATTTGTCTTCTTTCTGTGAGTACTGTAATTAGAAAGATCACTGATATTAGATCAAGCATTCTATGTGTATAAAAAATACCACTCTTCTAATAGATCAACTGTGTAAAAGAAATTAACGCGGGTATAACTGAATTCCTCTTACCAGACTGTGGTCCTATACAACTTACTTCAAGAGAAAAATTTCCCTGAGTTGTATTCTAGCAGGGTACAGCAGAAACTCTGAGTAGAAATTAGTATTACAGTTTAAAGATGAATGGCACTTGGAGAAATTAAAGATTAGCACACAAATGCCATTTTGAGTCATATTATATAAAGAATACTAAACTATGTTAGACTATTTAGCAGTAGATATGTTCAAATAATACTAATCTATGTGGAACCTAAAGGAATACAAGGTTCTGGTAATAGCCAGATATGAACTGAGTATTAAGTCCAAATGCTTCACTAACAAATCACAGAATTGTAGGGGTTGGAAGGGACCTCAAGAGATCATCGGGTCCAACCCCTCTGCCAAAACCAGGTTCCCTAGAGCTGGCTGCCCAGGTAGGCATCCAGATGGGCCTTAAGTATCTACAGAGAAGGAGACTCCACAACCTCCCTGGGCAGCCTGTAAATTGTCCTGATGAAATACTGCAAAGCGATCATAAAAAAAATGGCAAAGGCCAATCTAGGGGATAGCATAATGAGCACATTCTCACGCAAGTCTCTAGCCTACCTTCTCAGCCTGAGCCTCCAGCGACTTCAGGTTGTTGGTCACAGTTTTCAACTCCTCTTCAAGCTCAGCACATTTGCTGTTATTTCGGAAGGAAGGCAGGAAAGGGGTGGATGGAAGATTCAGTCAAGCAAAAGAAACAGGAGAAAAAAAAAGGGGGAAAAGATAGAGAAAAATGAAAATAATTACAGAGCAAAAGAACGGCCTCAAAAGCAGCTGAATCTATCACAGACTGAAAGCAACATTTTACAATGCCAAATTCCATTTTAAGTGTGCATTAAGATGACAACCAGACACAAATTATCTACAGCCTTTGGCTTACACAGAAATATTTACAAAGCATTTACACGTGAGATAGTTCAGCTTCTTTTTGGCTGCATAAGAGATCAGTTTTAAAGGCAAAAATGAACAAATAAACAAAAAAGAGACCAAAGAAAAACACCAAAGCAAGATGCAAAGGGAGTAAAGAGCATAGTGAGGATCTATTTGTTATTGAGTGAGCTAACTGGCTATGGAAGCTGAAAGACTTGGGTTGCAGTTAAACCTAAAAACTGTTTATTAGTATCAGTACCTTATCCTCTGCAGCCATTAATGCTTTCAAGGTTTGATCCATTATTCTTAACTGTTCTTCCAGCTGTCGGACTTGGCTGTTAGTGAACACATGAAATGCACAAAAGCCATTCACAAAATCAGTGTGCAGGTACAGCATGCAGTGACAAAACACACGCGCACACACATACAAACACATTTACTTTGGTGCTGACCATTTATTTCAACCATTAGAGTAAATGAGCAAAACATAGCTTTGAGCTGAACGCAGGGTGTACTGCCAGTGTTTCATGCTGTTACAGTTACTGTCTTGTGGCACCTCACAGGCATCTCAGGGACAGTTGAACACTTACCTTTCTGATAGTTCAGCACGTTCCTCAGCTCGCTCCAGGTCACTCTCAATGATCACAAGCTTACGAGCTACCTACAGGCAAAAGCAAGTGACATTCATGGATAACCCATTGCTGCAGCCAACAACATCTGTCCGTAGAATCCACAAAGCATGCAGTTGGACCTCTTCCCATTTTCTGGTTAACATGTGGGTTTCATCATGCGGTATCTTCAGCATTCACTTGGGTCTTTGTTACCTGACCTTTTTCAAGATCTCTTTTTTCAATTCATTGAAAGGCAGCTTTAAAATATTTTTTCTCCCTGCGAGAGGGTCCTTAAGAAACCAGGGAATACTCTCAACTGTTTTAGCACAAAGATCGGAGTACAGATCTCCTGCTACCTTGTCCCTGAAGGCATCCAGGTGCCTGTTTTTGTTTCTGCAGCTGCAAACAGTGGTGTTTGCAATCTTTTGCACTTTAATCAGGAAAAAAAAAAAAAACAAAAAACAAACAAGAACAAAAATAAAAAGGAATTACAAGAACAGCCTAAAGTGTCTTAGAAACAGATGATCTGTGCCCAAAAACTAACCTCTTCATACTTGCGGTCGGCCTCTTCAGCAATGTGCTTAGCTTCTTTAAGCTGGATCTCTTGGATTTCCATCTTCTCTTCATCCTTCTGGGCTCTATTTTCAATAACTTTCATTCCTCTGAAAGACATGAAAAACAGGAAATGTAAGGTTCAGGGTTTGCCAGTTCATCTCCAGTCCTACTACTACTGGAGTGTGACTTTCAGACACATGCATTAAGATGAATGAAGCATATCAGATACTTGACTTATCACACCAGAGGTCTAGTCCTGTATATCCATACTTCGAAGTTTAGAGCAAAACCAGCATGATTTAGGAAGAAAAAGTTTCTTTAGCTCTTTCCACACTTTAGCTCTACAAAGAAACTCAATCACTTCACTACCCTTTTTTATTTAAAATTCCAGTATAAAATGTTCTCGAGAAAGGTAAATAAGGGATCTTGCTTCTAAAGACCTAATATGACTGAAGATATCCACGTTTCTACACTCACTGTGAGATAGCATGCTCCAACCCCTGCAGGATTGACAGACATCATGTTTATGGAAAAATAGATGCAGACTCCCATGAGCTTTTCTACATCGGAGTCCTAAAGCACTGAAGTTCACCATACTCTGCACAAGCAAACTTTAACACCTCCATAATAGGAAATATTGTGTTACCCCTTCCATACGTGTTTGACACAAATTTTCTTAACTATTTCACAATGCACAGTATGTATTTTCTTTTCAACAGGCTGTGCTGTTAGCAAGGTAGAAACAAATATCCAGAACACTTGGGATTCCTTCCCAAAAGGAATTATCATAGCTATAAAATATAATTTGCATTAGTGAAAGATGGGCACTACCTAACTCTTACTAGGAACATCTGGAAATCCCAGCCTAAATGTGACAGAATTAGTGGGATCTCTCTCTGCTTTTCTCACCTATATGTATAAATCCTAACAACAGGAGAATCAAAGCCTCTTCCAGCACTTTGCTATTTCCCTGTGGGATTTTCTACCCACAATGAAATTAAGAATCACACAGCAGCACTAGAGTAATGTTATCTTTACAACTGAGACACGAACAAAAATTCAAGCCCATACATTTCAGACATCCTTACAAACTGTGACTGAAGTCCATGTGACTGAAGTCCAAAGACAGAGTGGATTACATGTGTGCGGAGACATAGGAGTGGTTTAATTTATTTCCCTAGCCCACACCCTGTCAACTACCACCTTCGTCATAAGGGTAATCCAGCTAGTAGGAGTGGATCCACCCACCTTTCACTCTCATCTGCAGCCTTCTCAGCCTCCTCAAGCTTCTGCAGGGCAGTAGCCAAGCGCTCCTGAGCGCGATCCAACTCTTCCTCAACCAGCTGGATGCGTCTGTTCAGAGAAGCTACTTCGCTCTCAGCCTAAGCACAGAAAGAACAGAAATTAGTTCATGATAAGACACACATCACCTTTTTCAAAAGGTTACACCACGTACCTGCTAGTGCCATTTAAGAGCACTTTTGTAATTTCTGACTTCATCCACTAAAAAGCCCACGTAGTGATGTATATGCCCTCATTGAGTTATGAAGTTATTGCTTCCTTTACACAAGGCACGTTAAGGACTGTACAACGTGTACTAGAAACAACAGTACTAGAAGAATTATGCATTGTTTCCTGAATACGTTACCTTTGGTTCTTTGCAGACATGAACCAATTGCCTTTCTTCCCTTTTAGGAGATCAACACAAACTATCATGATCCTTCCACATTAGCCCAAATCCTTTACCTATGCCCTTTTGCCATATTTTGCAATAAATATTGCCCCAATGTGTCCTTGAATTCCATAAAAAGAGCTCGAAGTAAACACGCAAAAATACACCTGGATCAATATCTGCAATGAGATAGCTCCTACAGAGATGGGATGAGAACATTTAGAGTGCTTGAATACTCACAAGTTTTGCTTATAGGCAAGCTATTCAAGAGCTGACAAAGAAGGCACCAGCAAAGGTTACATTTTGTAAGGTCCCAGGTACAGGCAACAATTGCTTAAAATATTATTTTTCCCCTCCAAACTGTCATCCTCAGATTTCCCCCAGATTTGCCTCTCTTCCATTACCTATTTGCTTAATGTTATGTACAACACATCTGCCTCCTATCATTACAAGTTTTTACTTCTAATATATTCAAACCCACACTTGTAGAATAACTTCTGTAACAGCCTTCCCATAATAACCTCGTTAAACTCAATTTCTTTCAAAATAAACAAAACATACAAAATCACCATTATTCCAAAAAGTTAATTACTTCCAAGAACAGCAGTTACTCTTAACTAGTACTGAAAATATTCTTGCCATACGTGAGGGCAAACAAATTTTAATTTCCAGTAGGGAAAAAAAAAAAAAAAAAAGGAAAGCTATCATACCAAAAGTACCAGTGCTTTTTTTTTTTAACTAAAAGAACTGTTGTTTGTTGCTTTTACTACTCCGAGGTAGTTCGATACAGCTGGCCACAGCCTGAATTTTGTTGTGAGTAACACAAGAACTTACACAACAGCCAAGTGAACAGCATCTGACATAACAGTAACACTGCTACTTGAAACATTGGAAGTAACACTAACATCTGAGAAGTAAATCTGTATTTGAACATTGAGTGTTGGCAGTGAGTACACTGTACCAGAAGAGACTAGATCCTTACGATTCCACATTAGCCCCTCTCAAAAATCTTCACCTAACTATGTAACCAACAGTGGGACTCCAAACCTGCAATTTGCCAACTTTGAATAACAAAAAATTGAACTTTTTGAGAAACAAAGCAGCTTTGGGAGTGGTCGAAATACACGTTCTTTCAGAAACATCACCCTTGGGAAATCTATAATGCCACAAGTTAATTATTATCATGTCAAGACTCCTCATCCCGATAAGAGTGTACAATATGCTTAGAAAACAGAGGGTGACTAAAGTTCAAGTTTTTACTTCCTGCTCCACCACCAGTAACTCAATGAGGTTTCACCAACGTTGCAGCCTTATATGGCCCAAGTCACTCGGCGGAGCAGGACTTCTGCCTTATATGGTGAGGAAGGAAAAAACCCAGTGACATTAGGGGCACTCCCACGATGAACAGGCAAACACAGCCTTCTGCATTTTTGACGCTGCGCTTAGACACTGCATATTTTTACAATGAGAGATGCCATGGATAGGTTACAACTGAGTGTTAATTATTACTGCCGTAGGAAAGACTGTTTTCCAGCTAATCATATAATTGAAAAAGGAAAACTGCATTATGAAAATGCAGTTACTAACAGCCTCACGAGATGCACAGGCACAACCAAAGGGACTCTCTAAAAGCAATGCCTGCTTGTCACAGACTCCAAACCTTTAACAATCTGGTTTAACAATCAAAAGTTGTAAACTGCAAAATGCTTTGGCCACTGCTGTAGCTTTTTCATTGTTTGCGTATCTGTACCTTGCACAGGAAGAGAAAAAAAAAAAAACAACCTTGAGCTGGTCACATGCTATACGTATAAGGCAATACACTAAGGGAAGGGTCAAGTTCACACCTCAGCTTGCCTGCTGCAACGTTCTCAAAGCTTCCCTCCTCAATCATGCAGCAAAAATTAAAAAAAATCTGTGCCTGGCTGGCATTAGGGAAGAGGCACAGGTCTTTGTGTGCCTGGGAGTTCAGTTTTCTGGGTTTATTCACCAAAGTGCTGATCCCCTCCAAACAAATATGTAAGTACCAGGCAAACACGCTCTGCAGAATTCCACATTATCTCCAGGAAACAGACAAACATTACCCTTTTGGATGGTAACTCTAAGCCTTGCCCTGTGGCCAAGCTCTAATGGCATGACTTAACCAACAGACTGTAATCGCTCCTCCACTGCTCTTCCTTCTGCCACAAAAGGTATCACCAAAACTTCCCATTCTTAGTGACCCTGTAACTAACTTTAATATCCTTGTTTAGAACTGTGTGTGTTGTTGAGGGTGGGAAAATGGGTGGCCTTTACTCATAGGAAATAAAAGCTTAAAAAACAAATGCAATCGTTTTTAAAACAGAAACCCTTAGAAGACAAGTTACTGACTGTGACATGATCTCTCTCAAAAAAAAAAAAAACAAAAAAAAACAACAAACAAGCACCAGGTACGTGAAATGACTTGCAAGAATGAAGCAGCCACCCACCCGTAAAGAGCCATACTGAGCTCCTTTGGAAGGCCAGCTCAAAGGGATCAGAAGGCTTACTACTGCTACATACCTTGTAAGTTTGCTGCCCAGAATGTGCAGCAAGCCCCACATTAGATGCAAATACAATAATTATCCCTTTTACACTGGGATAAACTATGTGTGTAAAAAAAAAAAAAAAATCTTATTTTGCATCACTTTCAAGCAACCAGCAGACGCTGCCAAAAACGACACTCTACGTTTTATAGAAAGAAAAAATGAGTTACAGCTGCTAGGAGTTCCCAAGGTCAATGGCAAGGCAAACAACAGCACTATCAGTTTTTTGCTGCAACTACCACCCATAACCACATCTCCCTGCTACACAAATCTGTGCTGCTTACACCTGACCTTGTCCCTGCCTAAAACCGTGCAGACCACTCCCTTCCACTCTCAGCTACTGCCTTTGCTGTGCTAAACATACTGCAGATGCTCTGGTGCAGATGCACAGGGACAGGGACCAGCTAATCACATCGCTGGCGTGTTTCCACGCGCTGTGGCTAAGCAGCCAGCTGCTGCCATCTCTGCTTTGCTCCCAGGTCTCTGAGCCCTTAGCAGCCAGGGCGCTTACCTCCCCGGGGAATGAAGCAGGACGGGACGCGCAGCCAAGGAGCAGCTGCAAAAACCCACAAGCCTGCTCGGCACCTAACGTGGACCACCCGATCTCACGTCTCTCCCCTAAATTCGCTCCCCTCGGGCGCTGCAGCCTCCCCCGCCGAGCTGCAGGTGACCATTTTGTCGGCGGGGGAGGGGGGGGGGGGAAGGACGCTCACCCCCCCCGACCCCTACCTCCTCCCGCAGGGCCCGCTCCTGGTCCACCTCCCGCTGCAGCCGCCCCGCCCGCTCCTCGGCGGCGTCCGCCTGCTCCTGCAGGCTCCGGATCTTCCTCCGCACGGCCTCCAGCGAGCTCATCGCCGCCATGCCCGCGCCCGGCCTCGCCTCGCCTCGCCGCGCCGCCTCCCTCCCCGCAGCCTCCGCCCCAGCCCCGGAAGTCTCCCGGTGCGCAGCGCAGCGCAGCGAGCACCGGGGCGGGGCTGGGGGCGGCGGGGCCCCGCGCCGAGGCCGGGGCCGGGGCCGGGGCTGAGGCCGGCGCGGCCAAGGCTCCGCGTCCAGGTGGGCGCCCCGGGGCTGCGCGGGGCGGCGGCGCCCCCTGGCGGTGCGGGGCTCGCCCCGCTGCCTTCCCCCTGCCCGGCCTCGGCGCCGGGGCCTCGCCGCCCGCCCGGTGCTGCGCGGGATGCGGAGGCTCCGCAGGAGGCAGGCCGGGGAGGCGGCCTCGGCCCCCGCTATTTGCGCTGCAGGCAGCCGGCGCTCCCTCCCCGGCCCCGTCTTTTCGCTCTCTCTCCAAGCTTGTGGAGCGAATACCGGGCCAGCTGCCGTAGCAGCCGAAAAAGCAAGACATCCTTGAACTGCCAGGCGTATTCCACGCATAGCATTAAACACGGCGTTCATCTCGATGAAAACAAGCTAGACGCTCTACCTACCCTCCGCCCGAGGGGTGACTGCAAACACAATTGCCCTCAACTAGCTTCCAAACGCTGTTTTCCAGCGAAGGCAAATAGCCCTGGGATTGGCTGGGGAGATGTTCCTTTCCAACTGGGAATCTAGTAGCATTTCTCTCGCCTTCATCCCAGGCTAGCTATTTCCAAATAGTCTGCATACTTTTCCTTATAAGGAATATCTCCCCTGGATCTATATGCGGTTCCTTTGAACAAGTTAAATAAACGTCCTGCTAGGAAGCTGCCTCTCATCTATGCAGCCATACACAGAAGAAGAAAGACATCTGATCCCCATTACACGCAAAATCCCTCTCCCCCATTCCTATGCACACTTATGTTTGTCGAGTTCTCTGTCAAAGCTACGCAACTTAATTGCTGTACTGAAATTAAACCTTTCTTTGTGGTCTCTTCTTTTTAAAAGTAAAATAGCATAAAAGCATGTTGCCTTTCATGCAAAGTTGGTTTGAGTAACATCTCCCTTTCTAAAAGTATCCTTCCACCACTTTGCTTGCTTCATCTGCGGCAACTCGTCTTCTTATTATGGCTTTGAGGTTAATTTTAAAAGCTGTGTTATAGGAAAAGGATGGTCATCGCTTTGGGAGTACTGTGCTTTCGCCTAATCCTGTAATTCAGACCCAAGATGTTCTCTGAGAGAAACTGGATTGTACAGCAGCAGCCATAGCAATCTGGACCTTAGCTGCAGAAAGAGTAAACTTGCACAGTTCTGTGCATGTAATACATTAAATGCATGTCAGGGGCAGACAGGTGGGTGGGATGAGGGCCTGGGAGGGGCACTCGCTCTTGCATTATTACCATATAAAGTGCTGAGCTATATATATCCCCCAGCTTGCTCCCAGGATCCCTGTCCTCCGAACTGCAAACCTGGCAAGTATCATCTTCCAGGGAGTTTTCGCTCAAGCAGGACTGAACTTTTCCTTGACAAGTAAAACCATCTCATGGATTTCCAGAAAGAAAAACTAGGAGAAGACCTCTTATCTCAGGGATCAGTGAGTGAGCCAACCAGTATCCAGCACCAGCTCTAACGCATGTGTGCCTAGGAACAGCTCTCTTGCAGACAGAACTAGCAGCCCTTGCTCTTCTGCATCTGTGGGATCTATATGATGTACTCTTCTTGGCTGTCCCTCTCCCAGATCTAGCAGCTATTAGCTCTCAGATTCTGTTCCACCTACTACCAAGGTAACGTCGTTCGACCCCGAGCCATTTTCCCCAACATCTAAATTGACAATCCACAGCACATGGAACAGCAAATACACATGAAAAGCACGTGCTGAGTGAGCAGAAACCCAACCAAATGCCTCTGAGAGTGTGCAAACCTCATGCAAGGAGGCAGTGCTGTGACTCCCACCTCCCTGCCCAGGAGGTGCCTGGACCCTGCCTTCAGCAAGGCTTCGGAGCGCTGCCTGGGAGTCCTGGCCAGCCTGTGCAGCGGGGGTGTGTGGTCTCTGTATTGGGGTGGTGGTGAAAGGGATAGGGGTAACTTACATCTGTGGCCTTTTTGTCAGCCAGTTCCAACTTTTCCTGTGCATCTTTAAGGGACTCGGAGTATTTGTCGAGCTCATCCTCAGTGCCCTTCAACTTCTTTTGCAGAGCCACCAGCTCGTCCTCCAGCTGTGATTCGGGTGGAAAGTGGTGGAGAGGGGAGGGCGGGCAGGAAAAGGTGCAGCAGGCAACGTGATCGTGCAAAGGGAGAAGTGCAAGTGCAGAAGAGACAGAAAAAGACAGACAGACAGAGAGAGAGAGAAGGAGAGACAGTTAGATTCTCTTTGCTTACGGCAAGGGCACAATACCTTGGCAGCATTCTCCTCTGCGGAGAGGAGGCTATCCTCAGACTTGTGTAGCTCTTCCAGCACTTGGTCCCTCGTATCCTCCGTCACATGCAATTGCTTTTCCAATTGCACAATGTCATCCTCTAACTAGGTGCACAAGAGGAAATACAATGCACAAAGACATTTTTCCCTGGGCTCTGAAAAGGCGGAAGGTCATTTAAAAATCCCTCTCCTCTCCTCTCCTCTGGCCTCCTTCAGGATCTCCAAGAAACTTACAACCACCATGCCCCCCTCCCCCAAACTAATAAAGCCCCATGTGTGAAGGAGGGGGTTTGGAGTGGCCCAGGAAAATGAGGGACACACCTGGAGATGGAGGGAGCAGCCGAAACAAGTCTGCTGGGTGGTATGGGGTGGGGGGGGGACACACAAACCCAGTTGTAACGTCTTCTTCACCACGTTGCTGCACGTCTGTCCCTCGCTAACCCACTGCTCGAGGCAGCGGCTCTCAGCCAAGCCACTGTGACAAAAGCACAGAGGCCATGCAGCTGCCCCAGGGTGTGGGAACACCACCTCCTTCCTGCTGGGCCCCCAGAAACCTCCAGCCACGGGGAAAATCCCTCTTTAAGAGGGCTTCATTAGTTCAACCAGTTCTGCTGGGAAGGAGATGGGGGGTGGGAGGGGGGTCAGCAAGGTACTTATAAAAAAGGAATCAGAGAGAAACGGTCTGGAAAAACTTGTGCCCCGGTGCCAGGCGCGCCAGGACCCTCGGTGCAGACCTGCTTGCTCCTCTCCTCTGCTGCCTTCTTGTCCGCTTCGGCTTGCTCGGCTCTGTCCAAGGCATTCTCCTTGTCCAGTTTAAGCATCTGCATCTTCTTCTTGATGGCATCCATGGTGGCGGTGGGCTAGGGCGCGTCCCCGCACGAAGTGAACCCGAAAGGAAAGCTGGAGCAGCACCGGGACGGGTGGGAGCCGAGCAGTGCCAGACGCGGCCCCGCGGAGCTGCCGGCGGGCGGCGGGGCCGGGCGGTGCGGGCCGGGGCGGCGACGGAGTGCGAGCAGCGGGCAGGGAGCGCCTCCCAGATATGTACTTTCCCAGGGGGCCGACTGCATTCCTCAAGACATCCAATACTTTTTTGGAAAGGGCTTTTTTTTTTTCCCCTCCCTCCTTCCTTCCCTCCCCTCCCTCCCCCGCCCGTCCCTACCCCTTTCCCTCGGCTCGCTCCCCCCGGCCGGGTGGGAGGCTGGCCGCTCCCACTCGCTGCCGCCTGCCCCTTGGCCCTGGATGTGCCTATATTTGGGGCGAGGGAAGGCGGGGAGCCGTCCCTTCCCTTTCTAAATAGGCAGCACGGGCCGCTTCCAGGCTGCTCCTGGCAGGGAATGGAAAAAAAAAAAAAAAAAAAAAAAAAAAAGGAAAAAGAAAGAGCAGCAGCTCTGGGGCTGGGGGGAGAGCCGGCTGCCGGGGGCCGGGCCCCGCTGGGTGCCGGCGGTGGGGCCGGGGCTGGTTTGCGCTCAGCGGCGCAGGAAGGGGCAGGGGGCGAGGCCCCTGTGCTGGGGCACGGCGGGGGCCCGGCTGAACCTCCCGGGGGAGGCAGAGCTGCAACCACGGAGCCCACGGAAAGATGGGACGGGGAAAGCGGCTGGTGAGGCTGCTACGGCTCGCACCCTGCGCCTGCCACACCAGCGAGAGATCAAGGCAGCAAAGAGAGGCTCGAGCAACCCAGAGAACAATTAATAAAACCTATAATTAAGTAGAAACCTATTTTTGCTTGTGGCAAGTCTCTGTCTCATTAGCACAGCGAGCAAGACACAACACGCTCTGTCACCACTACGCACGCTCCTTCCCATAGTGCAGAAAATACACAGCCGTGCACGAGCCCCACGGGATGGGGTTGCACAAAGGGAAAATTAAGCAGCCTCTTTGTCTGAGCTCTGTACTTACACCAGAAAATTCCTCCCTGGTTCTGTCACCAATCTGCTGAGCCGACGTAACTTCGCGGCAGGAGAGGACGTCCTATGGCTGCTGGCCTGCTGTACTTGCCAGGGCAAATAAGGGCCGTGAGCTGCGAAGCAGGCTTGGAGGCCAGCTCCCCACAGCCTCCACAAGTCATGCCATGAAGCTTCAGCTCACCCGCAACAAGACAGTAAAGGCCCGAGTTCGGACCAGAGGCTGGTTCTCTCTGCTCCCAAGAAGGCCAGAATCCGGATCCAGCTGTGAGCCACACCAAGTTCGGAGCGGCTCACACCAGGCTTGGGGCTCATCGTGTCACTGTTTGAGAGGGTGTAATGCCAAAGCAGCAGCTTTCCCTATTCCTACCTAAAAATGATTTCATACCGCATTCCCTTTTAATAACCAAACTCTTCTGACAGTAATAGTAAAATAACAGCAATGACAGTAAAAAATAGGAAGCAAAATCTTTCTAGAGAGTGAGTTCCTCTCTTTTCTACACAAGAAGGTGTATTAATCCATATCTTTTGGTTTGGAAAACCATCTACGTAAAACCATCTAAAAAAACAGCAGTGCACTGCCATTGACTATTTTAAAATGCCAGACAATAAAGTATTTAAAAAGTTTGCAGATTTGCAGCTAACTCATAAGCACAGATTTTCTTTGCGCTTATCATGCTTTCACTAGATAGCCACTTAGCCTTTCTTAAGTATAGTGAATATTTAAGAGACATCTGGTTACACATTGTTCAACAACTTGACTGTATGCATCAGTATGTTTTGTTCCTAATTGAGGAGAACTAATTCCTCTGCCACAAAAAATTCCTTTAAAAGCATATTGTGGCTGGGAATTCAGTGAGGTAGCTCTTTTGCCTTTGGGTGAAGCACAGGTCTTGCGAAATTAAACAAACAGTATCCTGTCTGGCTAATTTGGGAGTGGTGCTGATAGGCTCTTAAAGAATTCCTGTGCAGACCCATTTTTCTAAAAGAATGTTAATGATGACATGGGAGCCTTTGGGAAACATGAGAAAGTATGATATGGAGAAAAGGAAAGGAACCAAAAGCTTTTTAAAAAAGACACCTAGAAGATGCCACCGCTTTCACAGAAAAATAATAATAATAACTAAAAAAAAACCTTGAGATCCCATGTGCATGAAAACATCCAAATGATAAGCTTTCTTTAAATCAAAGACTGCATCCATGGGGCTGAACTGGCTGATGTTGTTTTTATTTTTATTTTTTTCCTTTCTCTGGTAGAGAGAATACAGAAAGTATAGAACCATGTAAATGTGTCTACTTTACCTTTAATTAACAATTTCTTGCCTGGAAATTTCCAGCTGGCTAAAAAAGATAGGCTTGGAAAGCAAACAGCTTGTAGAGTCACTCCCTTTTTAATTGGTATGTGAAGAAAGACTGTATACAAATTAACTTTGTATTCTGAAAAAAAGAAAGCAGCACAAACTCTGTTGCTCTGACATAACACTGATTCTGCAATGTTACTTGTTATTCTCCCTGCACCCCCCTACCACCACAGGGTCCCTCTCACCTCTCTCCTTGACAAATGGTGCTGGAACTCCCTAGCAGCAGTTTTACTTAATTCTGGGGAATACCTACTGTACTGGTTTTGAATTCTGCTATTTTAACCAGGCTTTTCAGAAAACCAAGCCAGCCAACACAAAGAACTGGTAAAGTGTAATTTTTTTTAAAAAAGAAACATCACTGCTTCTCCTGCAAGTATGCGATGTGGCACTTCAGGCTTACTGACAAGATGATATTGTTTCCCAGGGCAAGGCTAGAATCCATTTATATCACGGTGTTCCTGTCATGTCGTAAGTCCCTTGACACAAGCAGCATTTGCCTTGTGAAGGACCTGTTTTTCTGTGCACGGATTGAGCTGGTCAAAGGCAGTTCTCACTAGTGATGCTGATGACATGCAAAAAGGCAGGTGGATATATTCATTTGGAAACAACTTCAAATATACCCCTTCCTAACAAAGTTTTTTTTTTTTTTTTTTTTTTTTTAAGGAATATTCAGGAAATGACATCTAACTTCATACTACAACTGGTTCTTCCAGTTATATGAAAACATGCCTCTTAAAAGATGATTAAGGATTCGAATTAGGTCAGAGTGAACTCATAGGCCTGTATGTGTCATTGGAAAAGCGAAGTGTTCCTTCAGAGGGAGGCAAATGTAAATAAAATACAAACTTATTTTGCAAAGTCTTTGATACATCTGCAGCCCTTCTAAAACTGGAAGGTTTATTTTAGACAAAGGGAGCAACGTGGCTATGGCACATCATTACAGATGTGAAATAGAAATCACAGAGGCACAGAATGGCTCGGGTTGGAAGGGACCTTAAAGATCATCTAGTTCCAACCCCCCTGCCATGGGCAGGGATGCCAACCACTAGAGATCAGGTTGCCCAGGGCCTCGTCCATCCTGGTCTTGAACATCTCCAGGGATGGGGCATTCACAGCTTCTCTGGGCAACCTGTTCCAGTGCCTCACCATCCTCTGAATGAATAATTTCCCTCTATTCACCTAGAAAACAAAACAATAGGTACTGACCAAATTAGGTAGGTTTTACTACCCCCAGTAGTGTATTTCATCCTGTAAGGATCTCAGAGAGCTTTGCAAAAGGCAGCCGAGGGACAGTATTTCTAAAGAGAAGTGTGGAAATGGCAAAATTCCCCCTAAGGGAAGCAGTCGTATATGCTCCAGCCATAAGGCAACAGAAGGACTTAAAATAGAGGTAGGAATCCTGACTATCAGTTCTCTGCACAGCCCAGTGGGCAGCAAACGAGGACACAAATATCCCCAGAACATGCCATTCGTGATTGACAAATGCATGCTATAACCTTATAAAGGCTTTCTATAATACTTCTAATGTAACTGCAAAGAACACTTAAGCTTTTGAAATTTAACGAACTGGGAGACTGTTGGAAAATGAACCTCTTCTAAAATTATTTTGATAATTTTCCCCTTCAGAACTAACATGTTTCTGTCTGGTTTGTCATTCAAGAGGGCAATTCTATGAAGTCTGTGAACTCCTTAAGGGTAAAAGTATTTATAGTACAGTCTTCTGCACCTGCCCTGATCTATAATCTGAGGGTCTACTCAGATGCCACTCCAAATGCTAAGGAACTCATGATCTAACTCATGACCTAAGGTCTTAAAATATCTCCGAGGTCTTTTTTTGCACTACCCCCTTCACCCTAATTTCACTATTTTTCATCTGAGCAAAGTTATGTCTCCCAAGGTTCTGTACTGCGTTTCATTTTTAAAGATCAAGAGATGTGCTTTCATTGGTAGTTTTCAAAACCTACTTTAAGTCTCTGAAAATAAACAAGTGCCAAGTAATAGACCAAAAAAGACCACTTTTGGGAAGATGTCTTCCCACATCCTTCTTTTTATAGTGACAGAGCTTTATACAGTAAAAAAAAAAAAAAAAAAAAAAAGAAAAAGAAAAAAAAGCAGTTAATCTAAAACTGATTGATTGTATTCATACATTGTTGTATTTATGCTCTACCCTGCAAAGTCTCTGTTGAAGTCACTTAATTGAATGTGGCTACAGCCATCCAGTACTTAAAAAATAGTCTTGCAAAAAGGAAGACAATTCAGTCCACTTCAATTTAAAGCATGAAAGTATATAAAAAAAAACTCAAAAGGTTAAGTAAAAGCAGAGGGCAGGCAATATGTTATGGGGACAGGGCGACAAAGACTAAAATCAGGTGTACCCAGGCACCCAACTGAAAAGCACTATGGATCAGCAAACCCCAAAGGAAGCAGCTCACCCCTGGTGAAAGGGCCTAGTCAAAACTTTACACTGGCAGAGAAATGGCATGAAATTCAGCGGATTTCCTCCTGACTTACACTGTACTAAGTGATACCAGACTCGGTTCTGTTGAGTGTAAGGTAAGAAAAAAGTTATTGAAGTATCTACTGACCGGGACAGTACGAAAGGCTAGCTGTGCCTTCAGAAGGCATAACTCTATCCTTATTAAGCAGTCCCTTTGCCAGTGCTCTGAGCTATATATAGATAAATACACTATCGTTGTAGCATCTACTGCCACATCTACATGATTATAAGCTGTATCAAACTATAGCTTTGCAGTTGTGCTAGTGATTCTTTCTTTTCTGGCAGAACAAAGAACAG